CAAAACGATGTACACATTATATACGTAACGCAACAGATTTTGTAAATAAATATGAATGGTCCAAAAATCCGACCATTAAAATTGTTAATCCTCTGTTAAAATGTTTTAACATGCTTGGTTGATTTTTTTTTTCTTTTAACTATCCTTTTTTATAAATGTATACAAATATACATTTTATGTATGTAAAAAAAATAACGTTTTGTAAAAGTACATACAAACGTTTGGTGTAGATGTATCAATGTATGTACGTATCCTTATGCGTATTAAAAAAAGAGGAAGAAATTACTTAAATATTTTGGGAGAGAAAATCAGAAGTTGAAAATCAAAACTGATGTAAAATATATAGAGAAAATTTGTTAAAAAAATAATGAGTGAATTTTTTTAAAGAAGAAAATTGGCACCAATACGAGTACCTCTACCTCTACTTCTTCTTCTTTATTTGGGGATTAACATTTTTGTATTGAAAAAACGTTGAACGTATGTTTTTTATTTTGTTTTAAAATACTTTAAGTATATTTTTTGTGTGCATACGTATGCGATCTGTACTGATTCATATTCTGTAATATTTACTTGTGTATAAGTTCAAGGGCTTAAAACACCCGCCGTTTATACATCAATTCTTATATTATATGGATTCAGTTTTAATTTTTATTGCATGTTTTTTTTTCACACTACACTTCTAGACATTTGGAATTGTTCACATTAAAAAAAAAATTAAAATAATAAATTTACAAGCGTTTTTTTTTTATTTAACCTACTCTACTCACCGTGAGTGCACAGTGCCGTCACAAAATTTCGCCATCTTACTCTATTGTATGCCATTGATCTTATTTCTGCTCATGTTTTTTTTGTATCTCTTATTTATTTCTGAATTGTTCTTCCCCACGTGTTTTTGGAGTGTCCAACACTCCCTTTTCCATGTTGGTTCTACTCCATTGCCTTTCTGGCAATTGTTCCAAGAGTACGACTTATGGTATAATCAATCCAACCCCCGGAATTGTTTCTTGTCTATTTAGTGCATACAGTGGGGAAAAGTATATTTTAGAGGCGGCCATTAAGCATCTGTTTACGAATAAATGGAGCTTGTTGTTATAGTATCTTTCTGAGCAAACCATGTTTCTGAGCCGTGTAGAACCACATACTGCGTTTTGTATTTTAATTGAATAAAAATTTTGAGGAAAATAATGATATAGCGAAATTAATAACATACTAAACCAAAAATATCGCGTGATTCACGGTACAAATACACATTTCAAGTTATGAGTTGTAATTATTCAATTGTGTATAACATATTAGTGTAATTTTGAAGTTGGGGGTTCTATTAACCAAATTGTTGCAAGAAATTTTACATTTTTCGAAAATTAAATACCAAAAGTTGGGGTATCGTGGCATTCTTTATGTTTTCTTATGATAAATTTTTTTTTACAAAATATAATAACACTGAATATTAGATTTTCAATTAAATTTTCGTACCCTTTATTGTTTAGTTCTTTTAGGCATTATCATATATGTGCAGGATTAAGCGCTCCATATTCTTAATAAAAATAGAATAATAGCCGTATAAATATACATCACACCATTTATATTTCCAATACTCATTTGTATACGAAGTGCTTCATATCAAATGACAGGCACTATGTAAAAATACAACATGATAGTATTTTGAATCAACGTAAACACTTTTTATAAATGTGAATTGTTTTTTCTCATTTTTAATTTTTCCTTGAGAACTTCCGATAATGTACTCTTTTATTTTGTTTCTCTATACTTTATTAACCAAATCAAAAGCAGTAATATAACAAGAAGAATAAAAAAATAAACAGCTATAACAATAAGTGAAAATTGGATTGACACTGACAATCTTTTTTTTATTAAATACACACGCACACCACACATTTCTATATATACATTTTCATATAATAATATTCCACCCTTGCTATTATTATATAGATTCGAACATATATATATACGTACATATAATTGCCGGTTATTTATTTTATTAATCTATAAAATGTGCACAATGCATATTTATTGTTTTTAGAAGAAAAGAAAGAAACAAAACAAAAAAAAACATAAGGACTTGTTTATTACCGATAATAAAAGGAAGAATAACTTGTGTACATATTATGTGTAGTATAACGCGCCCATTACATGTAGATTTAAACAATATATACACAAGACTACACATATCAATATAATATTTGTCAAAAATTATATTTAATTTAATTGAAATATGTTGGTTTTTATTATACAAAATGATAAGTGATTTTTATGTTATTCCAATTGATCAGATTTAAATATATTTAGAAATAAAAGGCGACTAAAGGACTATTGTTTTATTATAGTTTTAATGAAAAATATTAATATATATATATATATATAAGAAGCTTTAAGGATAATAAAGAATTATAAATATCAAAAAATATAATGAAAAATTTTCTTATAATAAGGAAAACTATGCAAATATTCAAAAACTATAATAATATTAGAAAATCAAATCTATACATTGAGAGAATAGAATACAATAATTCCGTATTTGAACATATGAAAATAATTAGTAATAGTTGATTTTATTATACAAATTATGTAATTATAACAGTATATAATACATATTGTAGACATTATGGATTAAATAACAAATTCTGTTTACTTTGGTTAGTATAAGAAAAAATTAATGCTCCAAATGTAAATTTGCAAATAAAATTATAATATAATAAAAGAAATCAAAAGTATGACAATAATAATGGCAAATTATGATTATGACTTACAAAATTCCATATACATATATATAGACAACAACTGTTTAATTATATTTAACCAATAATATTAATAAAAATAATTGTGTACAAAATGAATATGATTAAATAATTTCGAAAAATTATATTAAAATGATTTGTACAAATAAAGTTTATCGAAAATATAGGAATTATAATGACTCAGAACTAGAGTGGCGTAATCCACATTAACGTTTTATTGAAAAAATGTAGTTGATCTTGTCAAATCTGTGATAATCCTATGAACTGTTGTTATCCTATTGGCGAACACAATATATCAGACGTGACTGTGGAACAGATTATGAAATAAATTATCAGAATTTCATTGCGATCTGACTTACTTTATAAGATGAACCCTTAATACCTGACTATTAAAATCAAAAATTTATCAATATAGATTAAAGTTTCGATCACATAAAGATCAGGTTCATAATATACTTAACTATACAATCGTATCTATAATGAAAATATATGTTATCCTCTTATCACATTATAGTTTATGTTAATATTTTTAGTATAATATAGATAGTTTCAATAGTTTATGAATTATAAAGTAATTTTATTTTTAAATTTTGTGACAGCTTCTTGTAAACAACACCGTGTTAATTGCACCGCAGTTGTAGTTGGAACAAAATACAGACTATTTCAATGCTGACTGAACAAGAATTTGTATTTGCTATAGAATATTAATGTATAATTTTTTTCTTTCCGAATATTATACATCTTATATCACTGACAGTTCCTAACATCTTTCTTATCATTCATATATGTAAAAACTCATATGAAAGAATCATTTAAATTTTTTTCCGTATCCAACTGCACATCCGAGACGAATTTAAAAGGGGTAAATAAATTTCACATAAAATGCCTATTGCGGAGCCTTTCTGCATTATGGGTAATTTGCAAAAAAATATTCACCATCAAAATTTTTTACTTATGCAGTGAACACCATTTACTTCCTACATCCGCCAAAATAGCAATAATAATTTCTTTCTGACCTATATTTCTTACAAACTAATTAAATTTTTATTATTTTTTACTGATCTTTAATTGAATCGCTTTTATTACGAATATTAATTTCTCTCTTATTTCTCTTTGTAAATTTCTTTGACGGTATAGGTGATAGGTATCTCCTATCGCAAATACAATTTTGACAACTCAAATTCAGTCTTTCTTGTTAACTAAAATCATGGTTTAAATAAAATGCTTGCATTAAGACGTGAATCCAAAAAATCAAAATACTATCTTAGAAACTAGAACATACAAAGTTGTTTAAACATTTGAACATTTATGTGCATAATGTAAATTACGGTATTATTAAGTAAATTATACTATTATGTATATAGGTATGAATGAAATCTTAATACTTTTCTGCAATTCCAATCGTATACGATTTTTCTCTGTATCTCATCAATATATTGGAACTGTTATACCAATACTAATAAAAAAAATTGCGGCATTTTGTAATATTTTACGTGTAACAAACAAAAAATGTGTAATTACTTACTTTAAAGGTATTCGCCATTACTTAAAAGGAAATTTATATACATGTACAATTCATTTATAGGTAATTTATATACACGTGTAAAATAATTCTATATATTACTTATGGAGCAAAATACACATGACTATATACAGACACGCCTAAATATAGTTTCTTTTTTTTTTTTGTACAAATTGTTTTGCACAAATTCTTTCAAAAGAATCTAAAGATTCATTGCAAGGATAATTTATATATACTCGTACATATAATTTATGTATATATGCGAAAAAAAGGACATTTACAAATATATTGGTATTTAGTATTTAATATGAACAGGTATCATAAAAATTTAGATATATGCAAGTAATTTGGAAGAATTTTACTATATATTTTTATATATTTATTGCCGTCAATAAGTCTAGCTCAAACTAGTAATGTTCACTACGTGATCGAGTAAAGAACAGGTGTATTAGACGAACGTGTTAGACGAACGTGATTTTTTTTTATTTTTCTTTTTTTGCTAAAACGGGAAATATTATATAGTAATAAAATTTAATAAAATATATTTAACATAATCATCAAAAATTTTAAACATGAAATACCAAAGAAGAACCCTTTGTGATGCAAATCATAATCGATTTTATGGTATTTTACAATTTATTTTATATACTCGTATACATATGAAATTTTGTGTTCAAGAATAACATAATCTTAATTAAAAAATTTATATTCTTCCATTTCAGATCTTGCCAAAGCTAGTGCCATGAAAGAAAAAAGTAAAAATGCAGCTAGAACAAGAAGAGAAAAAGAGAATGCAGAATTTTTTGAGTTAGCAAAATTATTACCATTACCCTGTGCAATTACGTCACAATTAGATAAAGCATCAATAATCAGATTAACAACATCATATTTAAAAATGAGACAAATATTTCCAGATGGTAAGTTAAAAATATTTTTTAACTATTATTTATCACTATATTTTTAACACTATATTAAATATATGTATAGATGTATGAACACATATAAGGCATCTCTGATATCTGTATATAAGATTTCTCTGTGTTAAACTTTCGCAATAACACAGGAAAAATACAAAAGTGTTTGAAGTTTTTGTTGCACATAACTCAAAGTGTTCTTACATACCCGGCAAATTTAGCCTTAAATTCGTTTAATATGTTTCCGTGGCATCGCTTCTTGATCTATTGGTACTCTCTCTTCTACCACGACTAAAGTTGCAGGCATCGATTTCTTGCAGCTCTATTGTTGCGGAGGCGTTGCCAATCAGAGATTCTATTCTGCTGTGGATCAACGTTCCGCACACTTATACATAAGGTGCATTGAGGTTTCCTCCATTTTCTCACAGAACCTTATTTATTACTATAATAAAGTGAGAATTCCCTTTTATTTATAGATAGGTTGGACTCTATAAATACAAAAAGGAAAATAAAAATTATTCTATACTTAAAGGTTTTTTAATATTGAATTCAATATAATGTAGAGGAAAATTTTAAACGGTAAGGGATTCAGTCCTTTTAAACTTGTATATATGTATACAGTCTTTCTGATATTCTCTATCAGAATATATTATAAAAATATTATAAAAAGAAATAATTGATTTATCAATGGTTATGTGCAAAAATTTTAAATCATATAATTTAATGCTGTTTATACGATCTTTATAAAGTTTAATATTTCTACATATAATTACTTACTCTTCTGTAGGTCTAAAATTTTAAATTATATAGCGCACAAGTTGAACGTACTTTTTCGAAGAGAATTTAGCTATTATTAATTTTTGCCTCTTGAGCTTTATTTGATATTTTACGTTATTTTTTTAGTGAAATATTTTAAGGCGTACTTTACGTACTTTAATGTGTTTTCCAAAAATTTTTTTTTGAAATACAATTTTTTATTCTTTAAACTCTAATATTTTTTATAAAGTATCGATTTTCTGTCGTCATTATTTTATGTTGACATACGTGTCCCGTAAAAACGGGTGATAAAATTCAGCCAAAAAATGACGTTTACGGCAAAATGATCGTAAACACCTCAAATAACTCATTAATCGTGAGTACGAGTTTTTTAAAATTTGTATTAAAAAATAGCTTATTAAAACCATCTATGAATTTAGAAAATAAAATTTTTCGTAGTTTCTCAGTTTCGTAATATTTCGCTGCAAAATTCAATTATGTGATTTTTCAAAATTCGATGTTTTAGATGTAAAGCGCTATAATTCATGGGGCGACGTTACAACAAAAAGTGTTTATTATTCTTACAAGTGAATTTATACTACAATTTAAAATAATTCCATTAGACCTTATACTACAAAACTCTAAAATATAATTTTTTTTATTTTTATATAAAATTAAAGTTATAATTTTGAAATTTATCCCATAAAAAAAATAAACGAAAATCATCAAATCATGAAAAAACAATGAAAGTATTTTGTATTGTTTTCAGAAAATTCGCTATAAGAACTCAACTGCTCTTAGTAAAATACCTTTATTACATACTTGTGTATAAGATTCTATTTGAGACCGGGTATAAAATAATTGGAACAATCACCACCCACTGTGTTTGTTATTTTTTTTTTAGTCATTTCAACTTTATATATATAATACACATACATATATTCACTCAATATTAATTCTCTTTTAAAACGCCACTCTTTTGTATACATTTATGAAGTGATATGACTTTTAGAAAATATTCGTACATATATATACGAGTATACCAGAACATCATAAAAAACAATAATTCAAAAACGTTGTATGTACGTAATGTATACATATACATTATATTGTATTAACATCAAATTATTTAGAATAACAAAAGAAAGCATATTGAAGTAAATTGCCGGAAGGATATTGAACCACCACACCGTATATTATTAAAATATTGTTTTGCTGATATATCGTACTTAGATCCTTTTTTTTCAATATACATATATGCATACATGTTAATATACAATAAAAATTATATGCATATCTGTAAGTATATGCACATTAGGGTGGGTCACAGAAATTGTTTTTTAAAGATTTTCTTTGTAACAAAATGATAAGAGGATGTTGTCTTTTAAAAAGGAGCAAAATTTTAGAATAACAAAATGATTAAATGTCAGTCTCAGACTTTATGTACTTCTCTTCGACAATAAAATTCTTGTCTTTTCAAATTAGCATCTCATAAAATTTAACAAAATTTCGATTTTTTGCCGAAACCCATTTTTTTAAAACTATGGGTGGATTTTACCAAATTTTGAAAAGCTCAAAAGTAATAATAAATGTCTTACTATCAGAAAATGTACAGCTACATTGAGTATTCCTTAAATAGCAGTTTAATTCCAATAATAGATTAATTTATTTTTAAGATGCTACCTGGAAGTATGCAATATGATTGTATATTATTTATAGAAAAAATTGGTTGGTTTACAAATTGAAAATATCTTTGTCAGTATACAAGCTGGTTTTTCTGCTACGAAACCAAAAATGATATTTTTTTGACATGTTTTGTTAGTATAAATTTAAGAAGATGAAATAACAGAAAACAAATCTATAAAAAAAATTTTCAATATTCGATAAACTTCTTTATAAACGGTGTTATGTTTAAACGTGTTAAAGGGAATAAACTCTTTACAAGATCAGCCTATATGAAGATTTAAACAACCTTGGTTCTTGAAAAAGATTAATTAATTTACTTTAACCTTTTACTTCAATAGAGTATAACTTTCTTTTCCTCCATATACTAGGAATCCACCCTAATGTACGTGTATATATTAATACATACAACATACATATATTATATATATACTTTTTCGTTTTTATTAAATTGCAATAAGACCATAAACAAGATTCTTATATGTGTTTTTAAAAAACATATTTTAAAAAATATTCTAATCTTTTTATATAAAAATAAAAATTGCTTTTTAATTTTCTATACATTTCTGATATATAGGAAAAATATCCACACGCCACGCGCATTGCTTAGTAAACATTTTCGCAGTTGATCATAGTCAAATGACAAAATTTTTTTTCTATTTTAAAAATGCAGTTTGAAGACTAAAATTTATAATTATAAATTTATAACATTCTCATAGAATTGTGATTATACATAATGTTTGGCTAAGCGCAATTATTCGACGATCAACTGCCAATGACATTGTTATTTTGTAGTTTTTGCGATATTCTTATTGCATGTCAAATAACTACCACGAACGTGCTAAAAAGGAAAAAGTAGTGAGGGAATAATAATAAGTCAATAATGTTGTGAATTTTCTAATTATTTGGTAGATTAAAAGTGGAAATTCGAAATCAATTTCTAAAATTTTATTGAATATCTTTTTCCAAATCGATTTTTTGGATTTTCCACCCAAATTATGTAAATTTTCCTTTCCCAGTCGAATAACTAAGCAACAATTTAATCTATTCTTGTGTCCACCTAAAATACAACAATTTCTTGTTACATTAAAAATTTTTTTTTTATTTACTATTGCTTACAATTTATCTTGACTTTCTTCTTTCTTCGAGGCAAATATATATGAACACAATATGTATACCTAGTTAGGTAAATTTTTGACGTTACTGTGAAAGTACAACAATTTTTTAGTGTACAATAATTTTTGCATAATGCCGCCTCATCCACTTAAAATTTCGTTATGACGTACAATTACTCCAAGAACATTGTTCAATTATTACTCAATTAAATACATCATTTTAAATATTATATAACTAATTCAAATTTAAAAAATTACAATTGAATTTAAAGTATATACGTATATGTACATGTACAAGATTTGGGATAATTTGGGAACAAAATTTAGATGAACAATGAATACGAAAACTAAAATTATGTTTATATAGGTATAAAACATTTTTCTAAATTACGCTCAATAAAAAATCCAAAAATTCATATTGTGTTGACAAAAATTTTTATTTTTTGTACAGGTTGTTTAAAAATTCATAATTTTTTCAAATAAATTATTTCTCAATTACTTTGTCAAAAATCTTTTATTTTAATTTGTTGTTGTCTTCTAATTTACAATGGTTAGAAACTTCCACCTTTAACTAAATCCATACATACATAATAAATATAAAACATGCATACATATATGTATGTACAAAAATATTATAATAAAAATTATTCAGAAAACACAAAAATGAAGTTTCTTTTTCTATCAACATGCAAGTGTATATATAAATATATTTACATACATATGTACATACATATATGTACGAAATATAATATAAGATAGATACAAGTTTATCAAAGAGGGTGGTACTTATACATATATGTATGTAAATATTAAACAAAAAAAAAATTGTACACTTATCACGTGAACATGTATAGACAAGCACTGTTATATATACTGGTGAAAAGGGATGCTGGGTTCCTGATGGGATGACGTTTGTTCTTATATTCACTTTAATCATTTTAATTGGGAAAATATTTTTTTTTATTATTGTATTTATAAAAAATATTAAAAGAAAAAAAAACAATAACAAAGAGAAATGCAAATAACAAACTTTCAAGGACCTACTTTTAAATTCATGTATACACATTATATATATTGCCTTGATATACACACATACATATGTATACTTATAAAATGTATTTTTTTAATTCTATATTATAGGTTTGGGAGAAGCATGGGGTTCCCAACCAATGCAAAGGAGTGATGCCATAAAAGAACTCGGATCTTATTTATTACAAACTTTAGATGGTTTCATATTTGTAGTTGCCCCTGATGGTAAAATTATGTATATATCCGAAACAGCTTCAGTACATCTCGGTCTTAGTCAGGTAAGTTTTTATTCTTTGTATATTCATTGAATATATGCATACATACCTACAAAATACCGTATACATATGTGAATATTGCATGTGCACCATGAAAAAAATAATTTTTGTTATTATTTTTCTTCTTTGAATTTTTACTTGAAATATTGAAGGATTTTTTTTTTTGTTCTTGTTCTTATAATATGCATAATTGCATATATTATTCAAATTAAAATGCATAAATAATGCGTTTTTATTTCTAATTAACGTTTACAAAATATTTTTCGCTTCTACGCTTCTTGTTGATGACAACAAAATAGCTTTAAAATAGCTTAATCAAACGTTATGTGCATATGCATCTCATTATTTATGTTTAATACATATCATATATGTATATGTACATGTATTTTCGTCCTTTTTTTTAATTAGATAATTATATATTTTGTATAAATAATGAATTTTTAAAAATTTTTTAGGTAGAACTTACAGGAAATTCAATTTATGAATATATACATGCCTTTGATCAAGATGAAATGAATGCTATTTTATCATTTCAACCTCATATTTATTCAAATTCAGTAAGTATATAATAAAATTTATAAATTAAGTAATAAATTTTTGAAATTTTTTTTAGTTATAAATTTATATATCAGATTTGTTACTGTTATATAACATACCCTGACATCCAGAGTGTAGTATTAATGCAGTGCTACTTTGTAACTATGATCCATATTGTAGAATAAAAAAATTTATACAATGTGATTAGTTCCGAAATGGTGAGAAAGGGGTTTTTACTACGCAAGAAGAAAACAAACGGCGTAGTGAAAAATCGAAACTATAATATTAATTATGCAATTAAACTATTTTTAAGCAATTTTTTATGCAATTAAGTAAAACTTTTTCCACTACATTTTCAGTTGTACAATTCAATTGTATATTCTAATAATATTATTTTATAATATTCTATAATATTATTTAATATGGCGACTTTTCGTTATATTTCCGCATATTATAACATTTTTATCTCAAATTCACTGCAATTTCTACTTAATTTTAATTTAATATTGAAAAAACAAAACTGTTATACATTATTTTAACTTCATTGATTCTACTTTTTCAAATTGCTTTCTCTTTACTTAAGATATTAGTAAAATTTTTGAAAAATTTCTACATTTTTTAAGATATTAAAAAATAAAGAAGAAATTTTTACCATGGACTAAGCTTCAATTTTCTTAGAATTTTTTAAATTGTAATTTTTTTTTAATTATACATAATAACATTGTAAAACTTTTTTAATTTTAATTTTTTTTTTTGTTTCTTATAGGAATCTTTATTAAATTTTATTCATTCCCCTAATTCAAACCGAAACGTATACAACCACCAGAGCGATAGAGCTTCCAATACGATTGAAATAGAAAAAACATTTGTTCTACGTATGAAATGTGTCTTAGCAAAACGAAATGCTGGACTAACGTCTTCCGGATATAAGGTAAAATATTTTTTATACATATACTTACATAATTATTGTTACAAATACACCAGTTCGAAAATTTTATTTGATTTTTTTTTTTTTGTTTTTGGTATATTTAAGGTAATCCATTGTTCTGGTTATCTTAAAGCTAGAATATATCCAGATTATGGGGATGGTCAAGGCGGTTGTATACAAAATTTAGGTTTAGTAGCTGTTGGTCATTCATTACCACCTTCAGCTATAACAGAAATCAAATTACACCAAAATATGTTTATGTTTAGAGCTAGTATGGATTTAAAATTAATATTTTTGGATGCAAAGTAAGTATATTAATTATTTAATGGATAAATAATGTATTTATGTAGATAAATACAAATATTTACATACGAGTAATAAATTGTGATATGTACATATATGTACATACATATATACATACATATTTAGGATAGAATGGCAGCTACTTGATTTAAATAAAACAGAGGAGTTTTAATTTTAAACGAGTTTCTTACATAAGTACATTGTAAATATAAAGTAGGTTTAACAGTTCCAATTTTTTTGAATGACCGTTTTCTAATATATAATATATATTATGTACATACTTATATGCATATTATATAACAAAACTCATTTTAGTTAAAGCTAAGTTGCAACGTTTGATTGATCTTTAAAAACAATTTTCATAAATAGCATAATAAAAAAAATTAATTTACCAAATTTATTACTTTCATTTCAAATTTTGCCATTGAAAACAAATCTAAGCTATGTATATTAAAACATACATATGTACATACATGTATTTTAAAATGTAATGTCATACTGTTTGTTGATTCTTTTTTTATTGAAATTTAATCTAAATGTATAAGATTAAACATCTTATTTACAATCTATAATATTTACAGAGTATCACAGTTAACAGGATATGAGCCTCAAGATTTGATTGAAAAAACTCTTTATCAATATATTCATGTGTCAGATGTTATACATATGCGAACTTCTCATCAAATATGTAAGGAAAAAAAATAATAATATTCGAAAAATCAATGATATTAATAAAAATAATGAAAACAAAATTTTTTTATTCAATTTGAATTTTATGTTTGTTTGCACATTTTCAGTAATGTATAAAGGACAAGTAACAACAAAATATTATCGTTTTTTAACAAGAGGGGGAGGTTGGGTATGGGTTCAATCATATGCTACTGTAGTACATAATACTCGATCATCTCGTCCTCATTGTATAGTTAGTGTCAATCATGTACTAAGGTAAGCCGAATGCAAAATAAATGCATATACTTATAAGTATACATATATATAATGTAGAAACATACATACATAGGTACATAATTATACCTCTTTGAAAAATAAATAAGATACTTTAAAAATTATTTATAAACTATTTAAAATCATTTATTTCTTTTGAAATTTCAACAGTGAAGTAGAAGCCAAGGACTTGCTATTAAATGAAATTCAAGGAAATATAAAAATAGAACCAACACAAGATTATACTAATTTAAGAACAAGTTCTACTTCAACTGCATCTACACCACAAATTTCAATAAAATCATCTGCTAGTACACCTAAAGTAGAATCGCCTCAAAATCCCACAGCTCATGTACAACTACATCAACAGCAACCACCTCAAATTCAACAACATCATATTGTACAACAGCATCCAGTTCAACATCTTCCACAACAACAAGTTCAACCACAACAACAAAATCTTCAAACGTCTCACCATTGTTTTAGCAATAGCCAAATTTATGATGACAACTTTTCAGCTAGTATACATCACCATCATAATCATCCGCAACAAAGTGATAATCACCATCTTAGTCACCATCACCATCAACCAGAACATCACCATACGCAACAGCATTACCCTATGAATGATGTGAAAACCGTGAATTCAATTCAATTAACTAAAGATTTTGATGAAATTAATTATTATAATAACCACCATTATTACTATGATTCTTCTTCTGTTGATGCTTGTGTAATGAGACCATTTTCTGCTAATTCAAACAGTTGTAGCAGCTCTGAAAGTGATCCACAAGCGTCATTGAGTAGTCATGGTATTGAAACTTCACCAACTGGCCAAATAAATTATGCAGATCATTTAGGACATACAAATTACAATATGCATTTTCCAACAAATGGACTGGTACATCATCCTCAAACCAATACCAATAGTGCTACAGATTTTTGTGGAAATTTTAAAAATTCTTCAATGATAAATTCAACTTCTCTTACAGCTGCAACAGCGGCACATTATACCAGTGTTATTGTTGAACCAACGACGCAACCATTTATGGCAAATGAATTTGTTCATTGATAAACATTAATTTAATATACAATATAAGTGATGACATTAAAGTGATCAATTACAAATTCAAACAAATACGAAGATTCCCTTTTGTGCTCTATCCCAAAAAGAAAGTCTAAAGTTGTTGGTTTTTTATATAAAAAAAAAGTTTATACTTAAATATTTATACATATATATAAATGTATGTACTAGGTTTAAGAATAAAGTAATTATATATTGAATAAGTTAGTTATGAATTGTAAATCTGTAAGTAATTATAAGTACATATTAATATATTAAAAAAAACAAATATATAATGTTCGATAATTTATTAAAAATATTTTACCATATATATTATTTTATGCGTTTTTACTTTTTACTACAATTTTCACTATTGCCCCGAAATATAAATTGTTATGTATCGATTTGGCCAGAACTGGAGGGAAGTGCATTAGAGAAAAATTGTAATAACACGAAATTTTAAGAAACTAAGAGCCAAATTCCGAGAAATTCGTGGTGCTTATTTACTTGGTTTACAGTTTTGAAAAAGCTAAACTGAATTTTTTTGGATTTGAATAGTAACGAATTTTGCTTGGCGAAACTTTTCTTCACAATGCATAAAACCAGGAGATTTTCGATAACTCTCTAAGATGCACTGAAAATTCCACACTTCAGGATCTAACATATTTGTATTGTCCTCTTCTTCTAATTTATAATATGTATTTCTGCAGAAGCTATAAAAAAAACTTAGAACTCATTAGAACTTTAAGCACAACTTCCATTTTTGAACATGCTATTTTTGAAAATTTTGTGGTTTACATTTATCGAAAGTACTTTGTATAAAGAACTAATAAATCAGAACTGAGTTATCGAAAATCACCCAATTTTATTGTATATTATATTCGTCTAACCAGTTGCCTTGAACCATTCTTATACAATGATAGCCCTTATAATTTTTGGCTTTCATAAGTAGTTTTTAAAATACAAAGTTTCCTGATATCAATTCTTCATGAAACTTTAAAAAAACCTGTCGTTATGTGATTTAATAAAATCATTCTGATTATATTAACTTTTGTTTTAGTATGTGGGGGATTTGAATGTTTCAAATTAGAGATGCCAAGGTCTTCAAGAACCTTGGAAATATCGAAATAAATTTTTCAATAATCACTTATAAAAATATCTTTAAAAGATTTTATTTGTAAGTTTAAACAGAAAATACAACTTATTTCAACTCTTTATTTTAAAAAAAAATCATTATAGGTATATATATAATTAAGTTTTATAAAATTATAGTTAGTACATTTAGTGAACAGCTTTTAATTCAACTTCAAAAACTAATGTACTATTTGGTGGAATAACTGGGGGCGATCCTTTTGCGCCATATGCTGCATTTGGAGGACATGTTATTCTTCTTTTACCACCTACCTTCATTCCAACAACACCAATATCCCAACCCTTTATTACATCACCATTACCCAAGGCAAATTTAAATCCGTTTCCTTGCTTTGTACTGTCAAAAACTTTGTTATTGGATTTAAGTCTTCCTTCATAATAAACTGACACTTTTTTCCCAGCTTTGGCTTCTGGTCCAGAACCTACACGGAGATCTTCAATTTTGACTCCGCCCTGAAGTGTTTTTTCATTTTTTTGCTTTTGTTGTGGTTGTTGCTGTTCCTTGTTCTTTTTATCCTTTTTTGAAGGTTTTTCAACACCGTTTTGTTTTGGCTTTTCTAATTTCTCTTTTTTTGGGGCTGGTTCTTTTACTTCGTCTTCTGAATCTTCGTCTGAGTCATCCCCTTCTTCATCACCTTCTTCATCCTCTTCATCTTCACCTTCACCGTCTTCACTTTCATCATCTAAAAGTTTACCTTATTAAAAACGATTTGATTCATTTTTGAAAGTTGGGGATAGAAAAACATTAATTGATTGAAGTACGAAAAAAATAAAATTGAATAAATTTAATTTATTAAATTCGTAACCAGTTATCTGTTAGGGCAGTGTTAACAATGGTAATGTTAACTTTTGGAATTACATTTATATAAACGCATTTTTGGTCAAAATTATAGCAGACGAAAAAAATTTCCTTTTGAAAAATTTGTATACATACGCAAGTAGGCACATAGGTACATATTTTTAAGACTACTATTCCATACTTTAACTTCTTAAAATTTAATATATATATATAAATATAAATAGTTAACCGAAACTTGGAATTCATTCAACTAAATTTGTTTAGTGTAATGAATTTTCGCGAAAAAAAGTTTCTAAATCATTAATTTTATATTAAAAAAGATTAAAATAAAAACCATTTTACCAGAGTCTCCCAAATCTAAACCGCCATCTTCATCATCGTCGTCTTCGTCGTCATCGTCATCATCTTCGTCTTCATCATTATCATCATCTTTTGAAGTTTTAGCATTTTTCTTTTCTTTTTTGCCTTTCTTTGACGCATTTTCCTTCAGGGTTTCGGCTAATTCCATTTCTTCATCCTCTCCTAAATAATCTTCGTCAACAAGATATCCTGACAAATGAACATTACCATTTCCTAAAAATATAATAAATATGATATAAATTTAAGTTATCATATAAATTCAGTTTTGCGACCTCATTTTCCCTCATAATTAATTTTTCCGTACACCAGAAAGAATGTATGTATATATACATATTAAAAAAAAATTTTTACAGGTGTAAATTTTTTTTTGAAATTCGTTTGAATCATTTTTATTGGAAGTATAAGTTTTTATTAAACCTAAGCAACATAAAAAATTACACGAACAGATGTATTCGGCAAACTTTAATAATGCATAAGTTTTAAAACTTATGATTTAATAAGATTTAAATTATATCCAAAATGCTGACTGGGATTAAGGTCTTGACTCTGAGTGGTAGTTTTTAGAAATTTTGTGCAGTTTCTTAGCAGTTTGCTTCGTGTAAGCATTAATTTTTTTATAAGGTCCTAATATGACTGAAATTCGTCTTTCGTCTCATATTTGGAATCTATTCCTTTGAATTTTCTTTAAGAAGCTCAAGGTATATGCATGTATTCATATTTTGTCTATAAAACTTCAGATTCCTACCAGACTAACACTTCTTGAATGTCTGGTTATTCTTTAATAAAGCATTTTATTTGTAAAATATTTGAGATGTAATTAAAAAAAGGACTAAATTTTACGATTTTATAAAGCTTTTAGATAGAAGTACCAATCAATACCGTATTTGATGATCGTTATACACGTACATATATTCTTCAAAAATATTATTCTAGCCTGTGAACATATGTACATACATAATTTTTTTTTAACCTATGCAATGCAAGAAGGTAAACACCCAAATGCCGACACACATAAATATACACGTGCACATATATAAATTATGGAAATGATTAAAATTTTGGAAAATCTTTGATGAAAACTGTTTTAAAAACTCTAATGTATTTACTCACCTTGACTTAAAAATGAAATTTCATCACCTTCTGCAAAATTTAAATCCAATGATACTTGTTCCACGGATTTCTTTCTAAGTGTACATAAAATATAGCTAGTTTTGTCTGAAATCAAAACTAACTGAATTGGTTCATCCCCGCATTGTTTGATGTCTAACGCAGCTTGGGACAAATGGAATGCCTTTTTGATAGTTTGGGTATATTTCCTATTAGCCTTTAACACGAGTCCTGGAAATAGTGAATGCATGTACATATTTCAGTATAACACGTGTTTTACATATAGACAAAATATTTCTTACCAAAGAACATTTTCGAAATTTTTTAATATTTTATTTTAAGAAAATTGTTTTTTTTTTTTTATTTATTTCTTTAAATTTTAATTACTAACTACAATAATGAATTTTAAAAGACACTTAATTTATTTTATAAAAGCGGTAAAATAAACGCGCTAATTACGTTGAGTCCTGAGTGAGAATTTAATTTGATTTTACTTTTGACAGAATACCACGATGGGAATGGGAGAATGAAAAATGAAATACGTCTAGATTAAGTCAGTTTACACTTAAAACAAAGTGTCAGAACTTGAGTAATAGAGCGTTTACATAGCAAATTATTGGAAAACAAAGTTTGTATAGTGTTAATTGTCAATTTATATTTAGAAGGGACAGTTTTAACTGAGTTTATTTTTTAAATTTTCAAGTTTGTTGTGAAGGCAACTACCTGCAATAAAACAAAAAGAAAAACAATAAAACTGTTGACAAATGCGATATACGAATTTTTCTGAAAATTGCATATTTCCAGCACAAATAAAACACTTTCCTACACTTTCATACATTTTAATGGTAACCATAATTCCAAAGACCAAGGGATATAATAATACCTCATAACTACATTTGTTTGAGGGGCTTAATAGACCATTTAATATAAGACAAGTTTTAAATATGTAGCAGTAGTCAAGGCAGCACGCCCTTCAAAAATAAAATGCTCCGGGTTGATGTTTGGATTAAGAATCTAAAAACGTAAGGAAAACTTTACAAATGTATCAGCGATTTGATTGGCCTTAATCAAATTTTGAGATGAGAATTTTTGAAATGTATAATTTTATAAGACAATATATGGTTGTAAGATAGGTTATTTCAAGTTAATAATTGTTCAAAATGAAACTTTAACAAAAAAAACAAATTTTAAATGCACTTTGACACATAGTACTTTTAATATTGAAACAAGTTCTCAAAATAACAAAAACCAAAATACAAAGCTTTTATTTCAAATTAAAGCTGAAAGTTTGAAATGCAAAAATAAAAATCTTATAAATGAAGCATCCGTCGCATCCCTGGTTGACATTAACAATAAAAAATCAATTTGATGATTAAAGCGCCATCGGTTGTAAATTTTGAGAACCAATTTTTACAACTTTTCTAAACGATTTTTATCCTTTTTCCTTTTTCAATATCAAGTAAAAGTTGACATACGCATTCGCATCACAAAAGAAATATAAATAATAGCGTTCGTATACTAACTAACTAGAATAATAACATGATGATATACAGATTAGTATATTATACAGTAGTGTGTGTGTATATTTTTCTTTAAAAAGGATAATTATTATTGTACCTGAACGAAAGAAGTGAATATCCTAAAATTATTTTTTTTATATAAAATAATTTATAGAAAATAGAATTATTTGTTACTTCAATTTAATATAAAAATATTTAATTTCTAGCTATCTATCGCACAAATATTTCCAATTATATAAATAAATACATTTAAAAGAATATATTTTACTGTGAAAAATTAAAAAAAAAAAAAAAGAAAAGTATAAGTAATAAAAATACATACAATATATAAATACATATGTATATCTATAGTTTTGACTAATCGATTCAGTAAAAATAAAAAAAATTTGAAAAACCTATTTTAATTTTTAAATTTCGGAAATTCCAATGAATCCTTTTAATAAATTTAATTACTGTAGTAACCCTAAAATAAATTAACTTGTAACGAAGATAATGATAGTAATATCAAATGTGGATAATTATTTTAATGGTAAGAATTTTTATGTTGATCAATTTTTTTTTTTTATATTTTAATGCCGTGTTACCACTGCAATTGTCTACGTGAGCATAATCGAAAATCTAATTTCAATGTTATATCGGTAACCGTATAACTACGTGTATGTATATGTATACTTCTCCAACTTAAAATGCATAAATCCTGATATAAAAATTAAAAGAATTTTTTTTTCAAGAATCTAGCGATAAGTTTGTATTACAAATATTTTACTATTTTACGCAAAATTATTAATTGATGGTATTGAATCATTAATTTATTAATTAAATCCTGCCTACATATATTATTCTATTATTAAAAGTTTTTAATAAGAAGTTGTAATTATGTTATTTCAAGAAGTATGGGTAGGTAACTGACTACCTTTACTTTATGTATTTAATGGGTACATATATGTATATATATATACCCATATGTTTGTGTGTGCATTGAACAAATTGTTATACTATTTACATATTTTAATGAAACATTTTTTTTATTTTTTATTATTATATTTCGAAATGGTACTACGTAGTTCAAGGTACAAACAAATCTTTCATTTCGCTTTCGGTCTAATTATAATCATTCGTTTCTATAATTATTATAAAAAAAATTCATTTTTATAAATAGTTGAAAAATTCTAATGGGTACTAAATCAGAATTATAGAAATATGCTTATATGATTCAGAATAAGAAAATTTTTAGTAAAAAAATATACGTTCGATTATTAAGAGCAAATTTTTGAGTACCCAGGTGCTTACCTGGGTAATATTGTAAATTTTTATATATTTATTTGCTTGTGTTATGGGTATGTACAATATATATCTGTATTAATTAAATTAAGTTTATAATTATTGTTCTTAATTAAGAGACTGAATAAAAAATATTAATTTATTTTTCTAATATTAGAAGTTTTCCAATTGCAATTACCATACAGGAATGAATACGGCTATACATGTATAGGTACCTACGTTACCGTGTTTTCAAATCCCTACTTATCTAGTTTAAATTTACGCTCAGAATATAAAAAAATTGCGTTGAATTAAAAAGTGAAAAACGTTAATACATTGAATTCTTTGTAGCCAATTTTGATTTGTCTTTAATTTAACTTTTTTTTTTCAAATAAGAAGAAAAAAAAAATCGATTCGAATAAATTTATTTTATACCATATTGCACATTATATATGTACATATATTTATATTATATAAACTTTTTTAATATACGTATGCATATATGTACACAATATATTCACATAAATAGCTAATATTTATAGGTATATAAATATGTACTGTATAATTCCTATTCCCATATCACAGTTAATTTAATTTGATTGAGAAGTTCTAATTCAATTCAATTACTGCAATTAGTATAATTTCTTTTAGAAATGAATTGTTTCAAAGAAATTTATTTACACATACTCGTACATACATACTTCAATTTCAAGTAAATTTCCAACGGGGAAATTTTTAAATCCCTTCTAATTGATTAATGTAAAAAGCAAGTCAATGTTTATTTGATGTCAACAAACTTGTATTTAACTTGTGTAGCATTTAAATTTAAATTTCTGTATACATATTTGCTTAAAGGTAATGTCGAAACAACCACAGTTATTGGAGTTCTTTTGGCATCAGTTGCATTAATTTTAGTATTTCTTTTATATGTTAATCGTAAATGGTGTTTTAATGCAACCAAGGGATTTACTTGCTGCAATGAAAGCTCTACAAGATACGTCCACAAAATAAGTAAGAAATATTAAATTTTTGTTAGTTTATTCTTTAACTATGAGTTTTGCATTACTAATGTTTTGATTGTCTTTTTAATTTTTACACAAATAAATTTAGTTTTACACACATACATATATATGTACATAAGTAGAATATGTGTTTCTATAATAATTTTCTACTCTTACTAAATTATTTTCAATAATTTTTTGTTTTTCTATTTGAAAAATTTTAGCGCGTAGAAGAACATTAGAAAACACAAGCTCAGATTCTGAGGAAGAAATTTTAAGAAGATTACGTGCACATAATTCATATAAAGCAAAGTTTGGTTCAAATTTAAGTGGCTTCAACAATAATAATAATAATAATAATAATAACAATAATATTAGTAATGGTTCATTTAACACATTTAATTATGATGGATTACATCACGTTACCATTGCGCCAAGAGAATCAACGTATGATCCTTTAGGAATAGCTGAAAAAGGTAAAGTAGGTATTCCATCGTCACATAGTGAATGTAGTTCCAATGATTCTGCTGAGGCTTCGATAGATAGTAATTCAGGAATTTTAACGGGACAAAAGAAAGGTATAGACAAAATACTTTTTAGTTTTGTGTCAATATTTATTAAAATGTATAAATTTTCCTATTACAAAAATTGTTATAATAGATCGGAAAGCGATTACTGGTTTATACCAACAAAACTCAGATAGTAGTCATTCAATTAAGGAAACACGAATAGAAAATGAAATCGAACGAAAAAAATCAACAAAATACCAAAAAGTTTCTTCTACTATAGAAATAGAGGACAAAGTAGATAATATTTCGGAATGCAATGGAAATAACGGAAAAGATGTACGTACTTTTTTTTTATTTTGTGTTTCATAATGGTTAAATTCATATAATAATGTATTGTATCATTTTTATAGCAATGCATCGTCAATTTAATAAACGATTCTAATTTTGATACAAGTGATTTAAAATCGCTAAAATCAGAGAATGGAGATTCACAGAGTGCATCTGATAAAGTTGGTATCATTGAAATTTCATTATTGTATGATGCACCAATGAGAAAAATGACGGTCCATGTCTTACAAGCCAAAAATATTCCATGTAAGGATAATGGCCAACAAACCCATTCACAAGTAAGATTATATTGATATTTCACTTATTGTATTTGTTTTGGTTTTTGTTGAACTACTAAAAAAAAAATTGTATATTTTGATTTTATAGGTTCGCCTTTTAATGTTACCTAGTAAAAAACAAAAACATAAAACCAAAATACGGTCTGGAGAAAATCCACAATTTATGGAATCATTTTTACTACATCGAGTTAATCCAGAAGAAGTTAATTCAATGGGTTTGAGAATTAGACTGTATGGTTGCGAGCGTATGCGAAAAGAAAGGCTTATCGGGGAAGCAATTGTTAGTTTTGCGACAATTGATTTAGAATTGGAAACCAATTTAACATTGCCTTTGGAGCCAAGAATGAAATCAGCGGCCACTGGGTCAACAAGTGATGTTTTAAGTTTGGCTAGATCAGATAGTACTGGATCAACAATATCTATGCAACAGCATGGTGGCGTTCCAGAATTATTGCTAGGATTATCATATAATGGTATAACTGGTAGACTTACGGTTGAAGTTGTGAAAGGGAGTCATTTTAGGAGTTTGGCTTTAAATAAAGGTATTGTTTTATACACGTTTTTAATAAATTTAGTAACTAATTGCTTTTATTTCATATAGCACCAGACACATATGTCAAACTTTGTTTGGTTAGTAGTATTGGTCAAGAAATGGCGAGAGCGAAAACCTCTACAAGAAGAGGTCAGCCAAATCCATTATTCAAAGAAACTTTTGTTTTTCAAGTAAGATCTTTCGCAAAATAATAATTTCAAATACGTAATTGTAAATTGTTTTACATAGAAGTGTGTTTCAAAAATTCTTTCCCATTTTCAATTTTAGGTTGCCCTTTTTCAATTAAATGATGTAACATTAATGGTATCCGTTTATGCCAAACGTAATATGAAACGAAATGAAATGGTTGGCTGGTTTAGTTTAGGCTTAAACTCTTCTGGACCAGAGGAAATAGCACATTGGGTAGATATGCGTGAAACAGCTAAAGGTGAAATTTTAGCACGATGGCATATATTGGTGGATTCCTGATTTGAATAGCTTGGACTATCACAGCGACGTGGTAGCAACTTGAGTAACTTTTTAGAATTTTCGAAAGAAAAGAAAAAATCAAAAGAATCATCAAGTACAGCTGTTAATGATTCTTCAATTGCTGTAGAAATACATGAACCTGAATTGGAATTAAATTTTGTGTAACTTGTGCACAAAATAAAAAAAAAAACAATATAAGTAAACAAAAAAAAAAAACATCATAAATTTAAAAAGTTCAACTTTTGCAATTATAATCGGTCGGCTAAATTACCGAAAGTTATTATGCAAGAGTGGAAAATGGGTAATTTTTTAGAATAATTATGTGTATTTTCTACATATCATTTGGAATAATTGCAAAAATTTAATAAGTAAATTTAAATATTTTGTACATTCCTTTCTTAAATCCGCAATGCATTTTAGAAAGGATAAAAATTTTTTGAGCACTGCAAACTTCTCTTTCTTTTATAAGTTAACATTGTGATAGAAGCATAAAAAGAATTTGATAACCAAAAAAAAAAAAAAGAAGAAGAAAAAAATAAAACAAAAAAAAATTTAAAAAAATTTTTGGAATAGACTAATAAATGATTGAAAGATATTATAAACTTTATAAAATATTATATTGCGAATACAAGCGCTTTAAAATTATTAATTTGCTTTCATGTAAAATGAAAAAAAAAAAATAACAAAAATTGTTCGAGACGATGAATTTATAGAATATAAAAATTTATGAATCATATTTTCTTTAGTTATATAATTTGCTTTAAACTCTTTCCTTTAAATTCTGAAAGAGTTAAAAAAGCTTAATTAAATTTTTCTAATATAATTTTTAATTTTTAATATTAATCTTGTAATTTTTGGTGTACCTTTTCAATTTTAAATTGCGAATAATCAATATTTAAATTAATAGCCATAAATATTTTTAAAATAAATACATAACAAAAAAAAAAATAAATAAATTGAGAATAAGAAATCAATGTAATATTATTAAAATCATATGTGTATCAAAATTTAATTAAATTTATTTATGTAAATTCTAAGTCATTCTAATCTTTATTTTTCCATTCTTTCATTTTTCTTAAAGTAATGTTGTTTACTATTAAATAAAATAGGAAATTAAAACATATGAAAAATACAAAAAATTGTAAAATTTTAAAAAATCTTTAAAACTTAAATTTATTCCTGTAAATTTCTGTACAACTGACTAAAAACAGTATTGAAACATTAAACGATTTAATTAAATAATTAATTTAATTTAATTAATAAATTTAAATGAATTTTTATTTTCCTATAATAAAAATATCTTTTCAAATATTTGGTCAAAATATTATTTTTTTTTTTATTTATTAAATATTTTGAATGAAATCAAAGATTGTTATATAACTATTCTAAAGATGCATATAATATATCTGTAACTACATATTTATTTTTATGATCATTTACTTTGAATTCACACTTTCAATGACCTCATTTATAAATAAGGTGCTTATTTATAATTCATGTAAGTTTTAAAAGTATATATATATATAATCATATTGTGTGTTAAAATCGATCTATTTTTCATTTAGAACATTTTATCATTAATTAAAAAAATAAAAACAAAAATTTCTAAAACCAATTAAATATTTATATAAAAAAAATATTTAACGCTTAAATGCATGGAATATTTCTTTTTTAAATTTATTCTAATCCATGCATAATTTCGATATGATCAAATAATATTAATTTATGTACCATATTACGTATTAAACTATAATATTGGTATATATATTTTATTTGAATTATATTGATTGTTCACAATTTAAAATCTTAATATGATGTTGTAAAGGTATATATTTCAAAAACAAAGAAAAAAATTAAAAAAATAAAAATGAAAAAAAAAAAAAAAACAAAATCGAAATATTCATATATGTAATACTTTTTCTTAAGTGTCCTTAAAAGTTAAAACTATTTGAAAAATATGTATAAAAATTTTTAATAAATAAATAAAATCTTTTCCTAAAAACAAAAGATACAATCGAGATATTTTAGTTTTTTTTCTTTTGTTGCAAAAATGAAAAGAAAAATAAACTTTTAACAAAAAAAAAAAATTTAAATTTAAAAAAAAAATAATATATTAAAAAATTTATTTAAATTATTTTTAAAAAATCAATTTAAGCACCTTCATTAGGGTTTATTAACTAATTGTAATAATATAACAAATAAGATGAAACTTTTTTTAACAAAATATTTATAATACACTTTATTAAATGTTAATATATTATTAATAATCAAAAAATTAAGAAAATTTAGTAAAAGAATAGAGTAAACAAAAAAAAAAAACTTTTTAATTATGGTTTCTAAATAATTCAAATATGAAAAATGTATCAAATAATATCAAAATTGCGAAATTCTATATATATATATATATATATATATATATATATATATTTAAATAGCTATATATTATAATATAAAAAATTATATTTTCTCTTTATTTTTTAATATTATAAACTATATACACTTTATTAATAAATCATTTTTAAATTGTGGACAATATAAAATATTGCACATAAAATAAAAAAATAAAAGCATTTATATATTGAAATAATTTCCAGAAATTTAAATATCACAATAATATATAAATTTTTTTTTTTTATTATTATATAATTATTGTATAACAATATGAAAAATCTTATTTTTTTAGGTTGATTGGAATATTTTTGACAACAAAAAATGAAGCAAATTAAATAATTACTTGTAGAAGACGTGTTATCCTTTCAAAAGATAAATAATGTGGTGTACGTATATTAAAAATATTGTACATTAAGATAAAAAACAATAATTACAAAGTATAATTTTCTCATATTCATTTATATATAAAAATATTTTCTTTAACGCTGAATAATTAGACAGCGCATAGCAAAAGAACGAACTCAAATTAAATATTTATAAAAATTAAGAAAAAAAAAATTGCTATTGTAATAACTAGCTAATACATTACTTAGTTCTGTAATTTGAATCCGGATTTGGATTTACAATTTGTTTATATATATATGTATATGTATATCATTTTTTTTTTTCGAAATGTTCTGCACGTCTTCACAATATAAGTAATATAGATTTTATATTTAGTAATTGTATTTAATGTTAATTATTATAAAAAAATTCGTATTCAATGAATTATTTCAATGAAATGAATAAAATATATTTATATGTAATAAATAAAATATAATAAAAAATACATTATATAATTATATTTTGTTTATTCCACTGAAATGATGGCACCATACTCAATGAAAATATTGTAACTAATAACAAAATTTGCTTCGTAATTTTATATTACAATCATACAAATTCATTAATCACTATTTTTTCAATTATTTTATGATTATTCACAATATAAATAACATTTCTATATTAGTCATTCAAAAACGAAAATAATTAATATAATAAATTAAATATTTCAAATATTATATAAAATATCTTACAGTAATAAAACTGAATTAATTTTTAACTATGTGAATTCCTTTTAATTCTTTTATTTTTTTTCTTTCTATATTTAAAAAACCAAAAAAATAAAAATCTAAACAAAAAAAAATTTTTTCAAAAATGTCATTTGTACTTTGCGAAATTATTATGTACTAAAATTTTAATGTTTAATGTACGTCGCTAATCAAAATAAAATTATTATATAAAAAATATTTGCTAATTACAATTATACATGGAATATTAGAACATATTCCTAAAAACACATATACATACATATATTTCAATATTAATTAATGTACTATAAATATTTTAATCTTATTCAGCTTTATTTTCGGACTGCCTTAGTAAAAACTGTGGAAAACATAAATAAAAAAAACCAAAAATTTATTTTAAGACTATATAGTTAAAATAAATAAAATTTAAATTAAATTTTAATTCAGTAATAATATATTATTTTTTAATTATTGTATTTTGTGCGTATTCAATAAAAACATTTCTTTTTTTTCAATTTAAAAGCATCCAAAAAATTTATTTTAAAAAATGAGCATTTTAAAGCAACGAAATTTTATTTATAATTAAGAAATAATAAAGTTAGTTTTGGATAATACCCAAATTTATTTTTAAATAAAGTTTTTTTGTTTTTTTGTAACCCAATTATAACAAAATTAAAAGACAAATATGGTACCCGTTTAAAAAGAGAAACACATATTTAGAGATAAATTTGTAAAACGGATTTTGATCATGCGACAATGCCGAAAGTTTTTGTGAAATTTCGAATGGAATCTTTTTAATAATGGGACATTGTGTTCGAGACGTCTTTAAAACATTTATGACGATGTCACGGTATTTTGTACGTCTTTGTTAGAAAATAAATAACTTTAATAAATGCGTCGTTTAATTTTTTTTTTTTAATTTTTTAATGTTGGTTTAAAGGGAATGCTTAATCAGCAATTTTAAAAAAAGATTCAATTTTTAAAAGAAAAGCATATTTAATTGGAATTTTAATAAATGAAACAAGATTCGTTGCAAATAAAAAAAAATACAAATACAGCACAGCTACTATGAAAATTTGAGATTTAGAGTGAAAGATGTTTTTTTTTGTTTTTGTATTTCTTGAAAGAAAAATTTTAATAAGAAATTATTTTTGTACTTGTTCTTTGAAATTATATTTTAATTTTTAAGTATAAATAAGTTTTACATGTAAACATAATAAATATATAAAACAGTATTATTTTGCTCTTATTTAAATTAGCATTAAATTTTATAAGAAAAAATCATCAAAATTTTACAAACATATTATGGTATATGTATAACAATTAAAAAACAAAAATGAACGAACTTAATTGTATTTAATTTGAAAAAAAAAATAGAAAATGTTATCATTATATATTTTAAATAAAAAGATAAAGAAACTAAATATAATTACCAAATATATAAGATTTCAAATTATTGTTATTTTACATTTTGTAATATTTATGTAAATGTAACTAGAAGTTGTAACTTAATATTTAAATAAATAATATATACCTATATGTATAAAAAAAAAAAAAAAACAATTTCCTACATACATTTATTGTATGGCGCTTTGCAAAACTTTTACATTGGATGTAAAAATTTTTTAAAAATATTTATTAAAAAAAAAAAAAAGAAATACATATAAAGAATAATGTGAACTTCATCATAGGTGGTTATACGCTTAAGTATCGAAATACATTTTTTTAAATTATTTTGTTTATAAATATATAATGTTGTATATGTATAATATTTATTTAATTATATTATATTTATATACATATATATGTAAATAATATAGGGCCTTTGGTTATCCTAAAAATGAGATTAGAATAAAACTTTGATATCAATAATTCAATAATATCGTATTATTACTATAGGTTATAATTGAATATATGTAAATAAGATGAGAATTTTATTGCATTAAAGTTTGTGTCGAATATAAAAATTTTTAAAAATAGCTCACAAATTTTATTCTAATCAATGAAAACACAAAATATGCAATAGTTTTTATATTTTAAAAATCTTCATTTGAAAATACGATACGATATTAGAGTCTTATTGTATTTTTTAAAATAAAAATGGAAATTTAAAGTACATGTTAAAATTATTTTTCTTACATAAATAATATATACAATATTATTATGTTATGTATATAGTATATGTATAATAACCAAGCCCTAATTATATATCAGAGAAATAAAAATTAGATTTAGAAATCTTATTCTTTGGATTTCTTATAAAATTAAAAATTTACATATGTAATTTTTGTTTTTTAATAAAATGAATTTTACAAAAAATTTATTAAGATGGTGGGGACTAAAATATATTATAATAAATGTATTTGCGTATAGATTATATTGCAATATATATTTGCAGTACATAATATATGTACATATATAAAAACAATATACATATTATGTATAATATGTATACATATATATGTACTATACGCTTTTTTTCAATATTTATTGATATTATCTTATTGTATAATATGCAATGCATATATAAAATATTAAAAATTATTATATTTGAATATCAAACAATTAAATTGAAATAATAAAGAAAAAAAAAAATTAAATTTTTGTACTCATAATATATATGTATATATATTTTTTCTAATTTTAACTGTAATTTTAATAATAAACAAACTTGTTTTTTAATATTTTATTGTTTTATAAAAATAAAATGCATTTTTTTTTATTTTTAAATAAATTTAATAGTGCTACAGTTGATCTCTAGTTTCGAATATTTATGCTCATAATTAAGCATAATTATATATTTATTTTTCATTTATCTATTAATTTGAATTGTTTTTCTCCCAAAATTAATCAATTATAACCAATTTAATTTCATTTAAAAAGTTTATGATTTTGTAATATTTGGAAATATTTTTTTATAAATTATAGGCTTAAATAAAATAATTAAAATAAATAAGTAACAAAATTTAACAATGAAATTAAAAAAAAAAAAAACAATTGAACAGTATTTGAAAACTTTTAATTAGAAATACATTTAAATTTAAAAAGACCTTACATAAACATTTCTTGCGTTCAATTGTAAACAATTTTTTGTTTTTTTGATACAAAATCAATTGGAATAAAAATACATAACTAGTATTTAAAAAAGAAATATCACAATTATTTAATCAAGGATTATAGAGGAAAAATCATTAAATAAAAATAAGCAAAAATTTTATTTAATTTTTTTTTTAAATCAATAATATTTAGATAAATGTAAAACTTCGCAGTTTAATAGAGGAAAAAAAAATAAGATTAAAAACAATTTTATTTATTTATTACATTGATATTAATATAACGCGTGACTATTTTAAAATATTGCAGTTTAGGATAAATTTAGCAGTTATCTCAAATAACATGAGTTATGATTTAAATAGTTTAATAATTATAAGATACAAAATTTTAATCGTAGAACACAGACCTTAAATGAAAGTAACGTAAACACAAGCTATTTGTAAACTATTAATATTACGACTATTTTTCTTTTTTAAATAACATCTAAATTATCAATATTATATATATTTATATAAAATTAAAAAGTTACTTATTAAAAGAACAACAGTTTTAAGAAAAAATATGAAATTTTTATTTCATTTTGTCGTAAATTTTTAAAAAGATTGTGTTCTATATGATTAAATGTAACAGAATGTATGAATGTATGTATTTAAAAACTAATTTTATAAATACATACAAATTTCGAAAATTCAAAACCGAAGTATATACACGAAAATAAAAATCAAAAATTTAATAAAATCACAATTAATAGAAAAATAAAATGGATTAGCAATTATTGACTGAATGGATACTACTTATTGCTCACTTAAGCGATTGATTATGTATTAATAATGCTCTTTTATTTCTTAAATTAATTATGTCTACATATTATGTACATTATTGTATGTAGACACCATAATGATTATAAATAATTGAAGAGCGGCAGAATAATTTTCGTAAGGTTTGTAAAATTTCGTTTGATATACATACATATGTAAATTCCCAGAAATTTCCGTGGAGTATTATCGAAAAAACTTTTAAGCTTCTACAATAATTGGCTAAACACATATTGTATATTTTAAAAAAAAATTTTTAATTTATTTTTATATAATAGACTTTAATTAATTTTTTTAAACCCATCAGTCATAATATGTTTTTAGTCCTAATAATATCAGCATAAACAACAATAAAAATTAAAACTTTAAAATATTGAAAATTAATTAAGATTCTTTAAAGTTGAAGAATATAAAATGTTTATAAATAGTCACATTAATAATAGAATATTCAGAAAATATAAGAAAAAGTTAATTATAATTTATAAGAAAAAGTTATAAGTAAAATAAATGGGTCGCACAAATTAAAAACCAATACATAACTACAAATGTATTGCTATAACTTGGCATATGGAAATTTAAGTATGTATGTAAAATGATGGAATCGTTTTTTCTTTTAAAAAAACTATCCATAAATATGTGTATTAATATAATTTGTATAACTGTGTAAATACATTATTTTCTATTTAATACGAAATGTTATTAATTAAGAACAAAAAAAAAAAAACAGAAAAAGACAAGTAATGTAACAATGTAAAGTAAAAAAAAACATTAAAGACAAGTAATGCAAAAAACAAATACATACGTTTTTAATTGCTGGTCACTTAATCAAAATGATAATACCCGTAATGCTAGTAAATAATAACTAATACATACCCCAATTAGTATTATTTACATCTACTATATAAAAAGATTGTCTAACCTTGGCATAAAACTGTTTACCACTGAACTCATTATTTTTACCCTAATTTTGGTTTTGAAAGACTTATTCTGAACATTGGGTGTCTTAAATAATTCAATTTATCTACAAAGTTATAAAGCTTGTAGGTCGTTCGAAATTTAAATATTGCGCGAATTATCAAAAAATAATATGTATGTAATGAAAATATAGAAATTCTTTTTAAACCTGCTAGAAATTATTAAGAAAAAAAATTTTACAATTTTAACATTACAAATGTGTTACATTTTTCCCACAAAAATATCAAATTTAAAGTTTTTGTGGAGTCAAATTTTTGCTGTTTATGTAAATATTTTTTTAATTAAAATTTTGTTTTAAAATCAAACGTTTTACGAACCTTTAATCTTTAAAATCAAAATCAAAATGGTAATCCTATTTTTATAAAACTTGGATTTCGATTTAATTAACTTTAAACTATCTGTACTGTTACAGAGTCGTTGACAACGCATTTGAAAACTTCGGTTGATGGAACGATTCATGCTCTAATACTAAATTCTTAGAACATAAGTCACCAATTTTTTATAGATGAATAGAATACATTGAAATAAATTTTCCATTTTATTTAATTAGATTGGTTGATTCTATCTAATTTAATTGCTTTCTAATTTATAATAATTATCTGAAAAAATTTTGATTGATTTCCTCGTAATATTCATTCAATTTGAAGTGATTTTGAGTTTAAGTTACAATATTTCTGTAATGATTCTAAAATAAAATTCCATACATAATTTACAAAACGTATTTCATTTTTTTTTATTTTTTAATTCTAAAAAATCTTTAACTATTTTATTATTTATTTTTTTCTTCAACAAACAAAGGTTCAGCATCTAATTTCCAAAACTCAGGAACATAAGGTAACTTTTCACTGGGGTTTGTACTCCAATGATGTATTCGACATTTCAAATTTGCTTTTTCTAACTTATTAATAGTTATTGTTACATTGAACACTTTCCCTTCTTTGTTAAGGTCTGGACCTTCAATAGGTTGATCAGGCATTGTTATACATTCGTCTGTACAATAATAGCCTGCTTTGCGAAGTGATACTCTAATATGCCACGGTTCCAATTTCCAAGGTTCATCCTTATTCATCACTATCGACAACGTTAAGCTTTGTATCATATTAACTGTCTATAAAATAAATTATTTATTTATTATTTATATGTATTTATAATTCATAATCTAACCCTTTGGGCAAAAGGTGAACTGTGCAATTCTTCAACTTTTTCATCTTCAGAAAGGACATATTTTTTTATATTTTCTTCTGTTTTGTACGTTGCCAATCCAGGTAATATTAATTTATTATAGGCAAATTCAGGTTTTAATGAAACTATATCTCCTTTTTTTCCAACTCCATCAACATAACTTTTTAAAATAACCTCAACATTTGGTCGCTTCTTTATAGATGTGTCTTCTACCAAATCGTAAATAAAGTATTTAGCCTTCAGTAATTTAGGTTTTGCATTTTTTTTGTGTAAAAGTGGTTCATATCGTCGTTTGAGCACAAATGTGTTCTAAGAAAAAACAATTCAAACTTTAAACGGTGAAATTGTCTAATTTTGAACTACGTACATACCCTTACTGGTTGAATCATTACATTTTTACAGGAAGAAACCTTACATATAGCATTCATCATATTTCTCAACATTTTTATGTTTTAATATAATTATCTCGTGAAAAATTAAATAATAAATCGGATCGAGCTCCTCAGCTCAGAAAAATAAACATATGATATTATGCTATAATATGTAATATAAATTAGCACTACGTGTGTTCATTGTTCAATACGTTTTGACATGTTTAGGTATGAAAATATTCTTGTTTTTTTCGCACATGCTTATGCTCTCCTTTCAAAATAAATGAGCCACACATATCCATTCAATTTAGATAATCATCGTGTATAAGAATATACGTAATATGGTAATCGAAACTACCGAAACTGTACAGCACAGCATTATGCATTTGATGCTATAAAAATATGATTTACATTTGTATAAAAATTCAAAAACAATCATAAAAAATTTTTAATTCCAACACAACTGACTTGGAATTATAAATTGAAGCTCGACGAGGCTGCCGAGCGGGAATTGTAGTTATACACATGACCACCTACTTTATTTTATTTAAATTGAACTACTTACTTTGAGTCTAACTTATTTTCCTTGTAAACATTCACTTATTTACCAGAAATAAATTATTAAAATTATTTTCTTAGTTTAATGTACTATAATTAATTATATACATACATTAATATAATAATTATATAATTATTGTTTACTTTATATTTAATATAACGTTTGCATTCAATACATGAATATATTACGCAATTATTGTATTATTCCATTAAACAATAAATAATTGTGTGCTTGAAAAATGCAAAGCAATTAAAATCTGTCAGTGTTTTTTCTAAAATTAGTTTGAGCAACTATAAATCGAACAGTTCGTGCATCAATTATCAGGGTATTAGTGATTTAAATTTTAAAATTAAGTTTATTAAATAATTTTCAAAAATTTCAAATAATATGAAAACCCCCCTTCTTTGAATTGTAAAACCTTAAATTCAAAAAAATTTATAATTGAAATGTTTCATATTACCTGATTAAATTGTTGAACTTTTTGAAGGTAATTCTGTTCGTAATATGATTAATTAATCATATTCCATAAGGTACGTCAAATTATTTTATGTTTGCATACTTTTATGACAATTGCGAAAGTTGATCGTTGGCGACCAAAACTGTGTTTATATTAATTAGACATGATGTCATGAGCACATGACGAATTGATTAAATGTCAAAAAAAAAAAACAGAACAGAGCAAAAGTGAATATTTAAAGTGTGATTTGTTTATCTTTTGTTGTAGATACCTGATTATAGATTACAAGGCAAAGCTGACCCCACTTTCTTTTTTAAGCATTTAAAGAAAGTTAATTATTGTACTTAGTAAAAATGGTTCTTAAGGTGGAGTTAGATATCTTCAGTAAAGTGAAAGTGATAATATTTTTTTGAAAAAAAATCTTAAAACTTTTAGCTGGAAATGTTTGCTCGATTAACTTTTTACCCAACATTATTTTACAATGTTTGTATGGAAAAATTATCTTCCAGACGATGGTACGATAGAATTGACGATAACGTTATTTTGGGAGCTTTACCTTTCAGATCTATGACGGATGAGGTAAGATAATATATCTGTATATATAAATTTAGATTTGCATGTGCTTTGAAGAATATTTAGATCCATTCTAAGATTTAGTTGAATTCCGAAAGAGAAGTAAATTAAACTTTGCTCACAAGCATTGAATCGATTATTTAAATTTATTGATTTTTATTTTCATCAATTCTTGAAAGAACGACTGCATCTGCAATTTTAGTTCACTAGTTTGCTTCTAACCAATAAATTTGAATGCCCTACGTATTTTTATTTTTTCGTATATAAAAATAATTAAGTTATGTTTATAGTATCTCATGTGTATTTTAATAAAAACATTTAAATCGCGAATTTTACCTATTAGTGGATACTAAAGAGAATATTTATTTTATTTTATTAGTTACGGCAAAAAGAAAATGTAAAAGCAGTTATTTCCATGAATGAAGATTATGAGCTGGCGTTGTTTTCGCACAATAAAGATACTTGGCCACTTTATGGGGTGGATTTTTTGCAACTTCCCACAACAGATATATTTGAAACGCCGTGTCAGAAAAATTTATTGACGGGAGTAGAGTTTATAAACAAATTTTTGCCTTTATCAAATAGAATAAAAACTTTTAATAATGATGATCTAAAAGAGAATATTGGAACAGTATATGTTCATTGCAAAGCAGGGCGAACACGTAGTGCGACTTTGGTGGGATGCTACCTAATGATGGTAATACAGTAAAAATTTTTAAACTTATAGAAAATATAAAAATTGATTATAGAAAAACGGATGGAGTCCTGAAGAAGCTGTCCGATATATGAAAACCTGCAGACCACATATATTACTTCATCATAAGCAATGGGAAGCACTAAGAATATTTTACAATTTAAATGTAAGAAATAAGGAATAGTAACCAATCATTAATTATTTATTAAAATTTAATTTGTGATTAGAGACAATAATAAAGAACAATAATTTAATGAAGTAAAACAAGAATTAGTTTTATAAATATTTATATATATTATATAAATACATATAGATTTATTGACCTTTAATCGCCCATAATTTTCTTACAGCTTTAGCGATTCCAATATCGTTATAAATAAAGTAGAACAATCCAGCAAGTGTGGCGGCAGAAAATACTAACAACACTCCATGGGCAACCTTCGGTACTACGTTCCCAAAAATAATTGGTCTTACATAATCAGTAACAATTGCTTCCAAGCCCCTAAAATATAAATATTAAAAAATGAAAATTTATGGTACATAAAATACACTTTCTAGCATTATTAAAAAAGTGAAAAGTTATTTTAATTACTATACAATCACACATTTCACAACCCTTCAAACAAAAACACTTGTTAAATAGAAAAAATCAAAACATACCAATGGGAATGCATAACCATTGACACTGCTAAAGCATAATCAAGAGGTTGTGATGGAAACGCTATAGCTGCAGGTAAAATTCCTAACAAAGCTAACGAAAGAACTCTTTCAGCAGTCCATAAACCTGCATGAGATCCTTGAGCAGATGATAGTTTAGGTGTTGTTAACGAAAAATTTCTGACTACTTGAGCCTATTATAAAAGTTTCAAGATATTATATTTTTAATTTTAAAACTAAAAACTATTGCCTGTTTCGATAAAGGATCTTTGATTAATGGGACTAAACTTGATACGCTTGATTTCTGTAAAGCTCGTATTTGGGGTAAGATCCTGGGTAAATCTATAATGAAAATTGGCTCAGTCAACATATTATATAATAAATAAATCTTACTAAGTTTTGCACATTGTCTAGTTGCCAAATATAAAGCCATACTTTATTGTTCGAAAATCACAAAAACGAGAAGAAATTTATTGAAAAATCCCTATGCTATAATGGCAATTTAATAAAAGCCAGAAAAATTTACTAAAGTGAAGGGAAATATTTCTTTAAATCACTAGTAGGTACATATGATTTTTAGCAATTTGTATGCATATGTTAAAACCGTATATGTATTTGATGTTTGTGCACTGCACAACACTACATACATACAGTATTAGTAGAAGAACGGTCAAATAAACTGTCAAAACAAAAAATGCTTTCAAATAAGCGCTTTTCAATCTAATTGTGTACCTTTTTCGTTTTGCTCTTTGTTCAATATCCAATTAAAATTTTCATTTTTTTATTTGAATATGTCATTTTTATTAATAAGAATACTCATTTTTTCAATTGAATATTCGGACTCTCTTTCAAATATTAACTGAACCAATTATCAATGTCAATATTATCTAAAATGATTAAATTTTTCATATATCTTAGAAAAAATAAGATACGCAATACGAAAAAATTTCGAAATTTGCAATTCGAAAATTGCATCATACAAATATATTTGATTATCCTTTCTCATCACTTCGCGACCAAAATAGCGAGATATACGATCACATCCTTTGTCTGTTCTTGCTGTACAAAAAGTTGAAAATGATTACCAAAATATCATTGCAAATTTTTTTTCGAAAATTTTTTCCATGTCGTTTTTGCTCTTCGTAAATCTTACTAAAGAATAGCAGTAACAAAACACAACATGATTTTGTTCAGTTTCTTTAAAAAAGTATTTTCTTTTGCTTCCGTGTTAGACAGAATTTTTAATTTTAATTTTATTTTCTTATTATTTCTACTAATTTTTCTGAATTTAATAATTAAAATTAAAATTTTCCTCTGCTAATTAATTTATTCCTCAACTTTTTGTGTATGGTAGTACTCGTAAATACCATTATAATTTCAAATTCATCTGTACGCATTTTAGCTTTGGCGTCCGCTGCGGAAAATTGTCAGTTAAACATTGTGAATTTAATTTTTTTAATTCATTTTGATTACGGCTGACGTATATTTTAGTTATGTCAAAATTTTGATATACATACATTATTTTTATTGTACATAGGTAAACGAAGTCTAAAAACAAAATCTGTTGTGATTGCGAAAAGTCAAGTCATCACTAGAAATATTTGAAATTCGTTTTTGAAATTATTTTAAAATGACTACATTGGAGGATAAATCAATTTGGGAAGATGGTGAAGAATCTTTAGGGGAAGAAGTTTTGCGTATGTCTACAGATGAAATCATTAGTCGCACTAGATTAATGGACAATGAAATAAAAATTATGAAAAGTGAGGTTATGCGAATAACTCACGAAATAACAACCCAAAATGAAAAAATTAAGGATAATACAGAAAAAATTAAGGTAAAGAGTAGTTACATTAGTTAAATAATTTACCTAATTGGAAGTTTTTGACACAGGTGAATAAAACTTTACCCTATTTAGTGTCTAATGTTATTGAATTACTTGATGTTGATCCTCAAGAAGAAGAGGATGATGGTGCAGTTTTGGTACTAGATAATCAAAGAAAAGGAAAATGTGCAGTGATAAAAACTTCAACCAGACAAGCTTATTTTCTTCCAGTTATAGGACTTGTTGATGCAGAAAAACTTAAACCTGGCGATTTAGTTGGAGTAAATAAGGACTCATATTTGATTTTAGAAACCTTACCTGCAGAATACGATGCAAGAGTAAAGGCGATGGAGGTTGACGAACGACCTACAGAACAGTATTCTGATATAGGTGGATTGGATAAACAAATCCAAGAGCTGATTGAAGCCGTTGTTTTGCCTATGACGCATAAAGATACTTTCAAAAATTTGGGCATTCAGCCGCCAAAAGGTACTTATACATTACTTTTAGCGTAAATTGCTTTTGAAATAAAGTGTGTATGTTTTTTAGGTGTTCTTTTATATGGACCTCCTGGAACAGGAAAAACTTTACTTGCAAGAGCTTGTGCTGCTCAGACCAAGTCAACTTTTTTGAAGTTGGCAGGTCCACAGCTAGTACAAATGTTTATCGGTGATGGAGCAAAATTAGTTCGTGATGCTTTTGCTTTAGCTAAAGAAAAAAGTCCAGCCATAATATTTATTGACGAACTTGATGCTATTGGCACCAAACGCTTTGACTCTGAAAAGGCTGGGGATCGTGAAGTGCAACGTACAATGTTAGAGCTTCTAAATCAGTTAGACGGATTTAGCTCAAACGCTGATATTAAAGTTATAGCAGCCACAAATCGTGTTGATATTTTAGATCCAGCTTTGCTTCGTTCGGGGAGATTAGATAGAAAAATCGAATTTCCACATCCTACAGAAGAAGCGAGAGCTAGGATTATGCAAATTCATTCTAGAAAAATGAATGTTTGTCCCGATGTTAATTTTGAGGAGTTAGCACGATCAACAGACGATTTTAATGGTGCACAATGTAAAGCTGTTTGTGTTGAAGCTGGTATGATAGCCTTGCGTCGTTCAGCAACTCAAGTTACACATGAAGATTTTATGGACGCTATTATGGAAGTTCAAGCTAAAAAGAAAGCAAATCTTAACTATTATGCATAAAAATTTTCATATAACTTTTTCATACTATTATATTAAATATTCTACAGATATTAGATTTATTTCGAAAATAAAACACTTAAATAAAAATATTACTAGCTTTCAGTTTTAATTTATAAAATATACAATATATACTATAACAAAAGGAATTGAAATAAATTAATTATTTAGTTTTCATTATTTTGTTGTGGAGCATCATTATTATTTTGTCTTGGCGGTTGCTGAGCACCAATATTGTCTTGAATTTGCGGCGGTCTTCTATTATAAATTACAAAACCAAGAAGTAGTGTTAATATTGTTATCAAATACAAATCCCAATTTGCCGCAATGTTTTCATCTAAATGAAGCACGAATCTGAAAGGAGACTAAAAATCTTATTGTTTATATTTTGTTGCAAACTAAAATTTAATTTATGTTACTTCTTTAACTGTTTCCAATTTTATAAGAACTTGTAATTTTAGTAGTGCCAGGGCTACTGGGATTTTAGCATCTGCATTAGTTTCTGCTGCTAAATCATAAAGTCGTTTAGCCAAATGCCAATCTTTTTTCATTCCAAGCCCTTGTTCATGCATGTAACCCAAATTGAACATAGCTTGTGCGTTATACTGTTGATCAGAAGCTTTTCTGTAATCGTTTGATAAATAATGAAAATAAAGAAGATTAAAAATATTCTTAGATCTCTATGTTTTTATATTATAACTTGCCTGTAGAGGGATGCGGCAGTTTCATAATCTCTAAATGTTCCTAAGCCATAATAATAATAATCTCCTAATTTAACTTGTGCGGCAGAGTATCCCTGAGAGGCGGCACGTTTCCAGTAATTAAAAGCACGCACTAAATCCCCAGATCGATCTTTAAATAACTGAACATCTCCGCGATCTAATAAGAACGCTGCATTAGTTTGGCCAACCTCATATCCCTAAAGTTTTATGCGATCATAGTAAAACTTCTCATGTGAAAAATTAGATTTTTACCATTTCAGCAAGAAGTGCATACTGCATGAAAGATTCATCTATATGGTACGACTTAAAATCTTGATAAGCATTCATAACTTTTTCGCTCCAACGACCTCTTTCAGCAACATTTTTGAAAAACTACGAAAAATATTGATTGTAAGGTTTTTTTTTATAGTTCCAATTTCTTTACCTCCACCGCGACTGGACATTGCCTCATCATACCCAATCCCAAGGCATGCATAGTTCCTAAATTGTAATAGGCTAAAACATGTCCTGACTGGGAGGCTGAGTTGAAATATTTTATTGCCAATTTGAAATCTACCTTGACACCGTTTCCAGCTAAAATTTTATTTATATATAAGCTAAAAATTTGATTTTCTTTGTTAGAATATAGATTTTTTTTACTGAAATACATATTTCCTAGCTGCAACTGGCCATCAACCCAACCTTGATCAGCAGCTTGTGTAAAATAATTTAAAGCCTTTGTTGTATCTTTCTCAACACCTCTTCCAAGAAGATACATTAATCCAAGTCCACTTTGACCTATAGGGTTTCCTAATTCTGCAGCTTTTTTAAAAAGCTTTATGTTTTTAAAAGCCGAAATTAATAATTATAACACAGTATATTACAAAATACTTACCTTGAATGCAGCATCATTATCAGCTTTGAAGTATTCGCTTCCTTCTAAATACATTTTACCTAAGAAAGCGTATCCAATCGCATTACCGGCATTTGCAGCTTGTGTAAAATAATCATGTGCCTTCTCATGATTTTGGGGAGTTGAACGTCCGCCTTGATAGTATAATTGTCCCAAAGCGATTTGAGCTTGAACATCTCCCTTATCAGCTAGAAGTTGGTAATATTCCACTAAATCATTTTCATGTCCACCTGGATTCTCAATTTCATCGAGCAGACGCACACGATGAATTGCTGGACCACTAGCAAATGTGATTTTATCAGAAACTTTTTTTGCCACTCTCCTGTAATATTCCAAAGCTTTCTCGCAGCTGCTAGGCACGTTAATACCAAATGAAAATCTGTAACCTAAAGCCATTTGGGCAAATGTATTGTCACCCATTGCAGCGATATAATAATGGACTAAAGCTTTAGACTGACTAACGTTATACCCAATTCCAATAGAATACATAAACCCTAATCCCTGAGAGATCATGAATAAAAAATTAGGCTTGTAGGTATTCCTACTCATATTTTCTTACCATGTGCGCCTCAGGTATCCCTTTCTGAGCAAGTTCTTCAAAAGTACTTCTAGCATATTCAATATCCAATTCAACGAAATGTCCAAGAAGATGAGCCCAAGCTAGTTCTGCTTTTGCAAGAGAATGACCTAAATTTGCTGCCTTATTCAAAATCAAATATCCAACAGACTTATCAGCGCTTGTCTTATTAAAAATGCTGATTGCTTGTTCATAAAGCTTTGAAGCTACAAATTTTTTATTATAAAAAATGCGTTTAAATTTTAGTCTGTTTTACCTTCAATCTCATCTACATGTTGATCTGTAACTAGTTCCTTTAACTTGCGTTGCTCTTCTATTTTTTCTATGTTCTCAGAAAGTTTTTGAATTGCCATACCCCTCGTTTGGTAATTTAGCTCTTTACTTTCAGAAGTTAAGGACGGTGTATTAATTTTTTCATGAAGCTCAGAAGATTTCCGATCATTGTTTCGAAGAGGAGGTTTTTCTGCATTATCTTTGTTTTCTAATTTATCAGGACCTTGAAGCTCACAACTCCCTATTTGACTTAAAAGTAATGTACTTATAATTATAAAAATTAATTCTTCCATTTTAATTTTGCTCATAGTATAAATTGATAGGTGATAACTGTGCTAAAATGAAAAATTAACCAAGTAAATACGTGTCCTATTTTGATAAAAGGCAAATATTCCCCATATTTTGACATTAGTTAAAGTGGCATTAAAATAATAAACTTACATTTTTATTAATTAATTTTTTTTATCACAGACTTTAGTGTATTGTATTTGTATATAATATCGAAATAAGATTTTTATCCTAATTTATGCTTTTCTTCATATTAAATATTTACTATGTACTTTAAAAACATACTAAGCTTTCATTTGACACTTTTAGCAGTTACCCAAACGTCTTCGTTTACAATAACTACGCGTGGCGATTTAGAAGAAGCGAATAGTATCTAGCAAACGACAGCGTAGAAATTGAGCTGAAAATACGTACTTTATTTTCTTAATCTCTTAAATTAACACGAATTTTAACGAAGCTTTGTTTTAATTCTTTTTGCTTAGCGCTTTGCAACTTCGAATTGTTTAAAGAAATGTTTTAAACCCGTTGAACAATTATTATTGCCTTTAAAGTTATTGAAGAAATTTTTATAAAATATTTTAAGTGTAGCTGTGGTATGCAAATGGAAATTGATGCAAATTCTTGTTTTTTATTACACGATTGTCGTAATTTATCGTATCTCAACAAAAAAAAAAAACAAACTGTAGTTTGAAAAAATCATAATTTTTCTTAAAAAATCAAAAGTTTTTTTAATTTAAACAAGGCAGAACGCTAATAGTCCAGTTGCTATTAGAAAATATTTTACGAAAATATTTAAACTATAATGTCGTTGTTTGGTGTCATTCTTTATTTCCTTCTTAAATCGTTCAATTCTCACAGACCACGAAGGAATGCATTTCTTATAAAAATTGTGCGTTATATAATAGAAAGTCAAATTACTTTTTTTATAAGGTACGTTGCATTTTAACTTATTTTAAGTGAATTTAGTAATTTTAGCAAATATCAAGAGCTGTAATGTTAGTACTATATAATTTTAGTTTAATAAAATAAGTTTTTATTATTGAATTCATCCGACAAAGAAAAGAGGAAAAAACATGAAATCAAAAAACTTAAGAATAACAACCTTTAAGACTGTCATAGCATCTTTCAATTCTCTTCACCATTTTTCGTTTTCAATTAGGTTGGGAACTATTGTATACAACGATTATCCTCTCATGTAAACACATAGTTAGATATAAAAATCAAAGCGAAAAATAAAACGAAATTGTCAATTTTTTAATTGAAACGAATCACCCCTGCGTAATTGACATTAATTGACATACGAATGTTGCTTCACATTTATTTAGACATTCAATAATTATTTGTGTTTTATAGCAGTAAACCAAAGTAAACAAAATATGTAAAATAAAAATAAATAAAAGCAGATCGATTTTTATATTTAATTTTTGTTCAAAAGATGACGTCTGTTCAAGAAAGATTGCAAATCAAAAGAACGGCGTTGGATAAATGGTCAATTAAGGAAAGATTATGTTTGGCTTCAGCAGTACATTGCAGTGGCGATCAGAATTGGATGTCAGTGAGCAGATCTTTGAAATTACTTTGTTCAAGTCACAATCGTCCCCCGGACTGGTATTATAAATTTTGGGAATAAATTCCAAAAATTTTCAATAATTTATAAATTCTAGGTTTTCTCAAAAATCTTGTGCGGTTCAATATGGCGAGTTATTAGAAAACGTTGAAACACCAAAGCGGAAAAAACGTACAAACTCCGATAATCAAAACCAACCCGCAGAAACACCAACTGAATCAATTTTACGAAATTTGAAGCAGGAGCGAGTAACTGAACTTGAAGCTTTAATACAAAAGGAAAGGGATGTTTATATAAAACTTCATAAAGATGCAATTTCGTTACAAAATAATACAGCAACTGATGAACAAATTCGTGAATTGTGGCTACAAATACAAAAAGAAAAGGAACATCAAATTGTAGAAGAACAGAAATATAATGATTGGCTAAAGGAACGCGAGCAGAGAAAACTTGAACTGCAGCGTGCTTGGAGACCTACTTTTACTTCCAATTTAAATGCTAATCAAACCGCCACACAAACATCTCAAGGAACAAATTTAAAACATGAAGATATGGATATAGATGAAACCATAACACCCATATCATCCACAATGATAGCGTCATCAAAGCCACAACAAACCGCAACATCACCTCTGCTAACATCTCTTTTAAAAACACCATCTCCTACTATCGGACCTGCTACTGTTACACATACAAGTTCCACGCCCAGTGCAAGGGTACAGGCACCAACTATAACTAATTTGTTAACAGGTGGCCAATTACCTCCAAATACAACTTGTCATCAACAATATAAAATTAGCCATCCAGTGACGGGACCCCCCATTCACATGACTAACGTACCGCAGGTGGTTCAAAGTCCATCTCAAGCGGCCCCAACATTGTCAATGCTTTTAGAAAATAAGAACTTAAGCAAGGAAAATTCTTCAACAAATTTAGACACTGAAGACAAGTCACAAAGTGCTCAGCAATCTATAGAACAAGAAGGTGATGGGAGCGATTCTCCCAATAAAGATGAATTAATGGAAGTTTTTAAGGGATTGATAGATGAAAATATTGATGAAAATATAGATGAATTGGCTGAAATTCTAACAAATAATAACGCTATTATTCCAGAAATATTGGACGAAGCTTTAGAAAATGTTGATTTAGAGGAACAGCTAAATCCAGAAAACGACGAAAATGTTTTACTCAACACAGTAAATGAAGAAAAAACGGAAGGTAATTTTAACTTATTTAAAAAAAAAAATTATAAAATGTTATTATATTTTTAGGTACAGATTCAAAAAACGTGAATGAGACTTTCGCCAATGAAAATAAAGTGAACATTAAATCTGAAAATGATCCAGAAAATCCTGAACTAAAAATAAAAACAGAAAATACGGATAACATTGGCGAAAACTCTGCTGCCCTGAACGTAGAGCCTGTTATAAAGGAACAAAAAGATGATTCACCCAATTCGGTGCAATTTGTTGAAACTAAAGAGGAGCCATTAGATGAAATAAAACCAACTATAAAATCTGAAGAATCAGGATTTAAACAGATTGAAACTGAAAACGACAAAGAAGACAAGAAATCGGATATAAGTGAAGATTCAGGAGACATAACGTTTCAGGAAATAGCTAACGAGATAAAGGAAAAAATTAAAGCTGAAGAGGGTCAAGATTCTAAAGAGTCTTCAGACGATGTTATGGAAATAACGGATAACCTTCAAGGCATACAAAGTGGCGAGAGTGAAGATAAAAAATCTATTTTCACTTTTGAAGACTCTCAAGATACTCCAATCACAAAAAGTGAAGGTTTCAGAAAGCTTCAGACATCAACAATCAAAGAAAGTTCCAAAAAATCGATAAGTGAAAGCTCTGACATTATTATTATTCCAGAGGATGAGGACTCGGTTGAAAAAAATAAAAAGGAAAATGAAGGAGCTGACAATAATAAATTATCCTTTAGTGAGAAAACTGATTTACCACAAAAAAGTAATGTAGAAAAAACTCCCGAAGATATTAAAAGTATAAAAAATGAAGGGGATAAAAATAAAAAATTAGAGACAACAACAATAACAATAATTGACACTGATGATGATTCAACGCATACTGATACTTTGATAAAGGAAGAAAAGATCGCCGATAATTTTGTCCCGAAGTCAAACTTAAAGCGGGAGATGCTTCAAGAAAAACCAGAAGTAGAAGATAAAAAACAACCTCCTGAAGAGGATAATAAAAATTTAGTATCTAAAAAAATAATTCGTGGAGAACAAGAAGATTCTGAAAATGCACCCGCAGAGGATGAGCTAAATGATTCAATGCCTAGAACCAGAAGAAGATTTTCATCCACACCAGTAATGGACAGCGTTCCAAATTCTCCTGCTTCTTCAGTAGAAATAAATGATCAAAAGGTTTGGAAAAAATCCATTTTAGCCGTTTATGCAAAACTACTTAGTAATAAAAACTCGTCACTTTTTCTTCGAACACCAAGTGAAGAGCAAGCTCCAAAGTATCGGCAGATTATTCTACATCCCTTGGATCTTCAAACCATTAAAAAAAATATTGACAACAATATAATTAAATCTACTAATGAATTTCAGAGAGACTTGATGTTAATGTGCATTAATGCCATTATGTTTTGTGAACAAAATTCAGATAATTTTGTAGCAGCAGTAGAATTTCTCGCAGAAATCAGAACCCAATGCTCTAAGTTAACAGAGAAAGAGAATAAAAAGGAAAGTGATGACACTCAAGATATATCAATTTCTACAACAGCTATACCCACAAATATATCACTAAGTTCAACTCCTTCAAGCTCTTCAAAAATGAGGTCTCGGAAATCACAAAGATTTTAGTTCTAGATTCAATTGATTTTGTTTTTAATAAAAAAAACCTGAAATAAAAATTTACATTCTCCCAATATTTAACCTTTGTACACTTCCTGAATTTACCTTATAATTTTTACATTCCCTATTAAAACTAAATTCGACTTTTATACAATTTTATTAAGTTTACTATAACTGTGTTAGCATTTATTAAATTACTCATCACATGAACCATCCGACCAACCATCTTTCCAACGTTGATAAACTTTAGAGCAATCAAATAGAGGTTTTCCTAATTTTTTGTTAACTCTATTGTGAAAGTTACACATCCAAGAAGAAAATTTGTCCCGTGATGTAACATCTACTGGATTTTCCTTAAGGTCTTCCTGAAAATCTTTCGCACAATATTCACATGGATATAACCTTGACAAACAACTTATAAAGTTAATAGCATCTTTTTTTTCATCATCAGAAGGATTTTTAGGAAATGATACACTTATAGTATGCAATAAACCCCAAGTTGCCCTTCCAAGTTCACCTTTGTCCATAGGACAATCTATTCTCGGCTGCGTTTTTCTGTTGCTATACACTTGGCTTTGTTCCTTCGACCAAGTTTTAAAGTCCTCACATGATCTGCACCCAATAATTGAAATATCATTCCGCTTTTTGGAAATTGAATCCATGTGAAATAACTAAAGCTTATAACGTAATTAAGTATATATGTATGTGCAAGTTTATAAGTTGATCACGAAACTTTTTATTATTGTAAACACTACAAGTTCAAGGCACTCCTTGTGTCTGACTTTTAAAATGACGATATTTTGCCGGCTACTTTGTTAGAAAATTCTTAAAAAATTTTTAAGAACCTATATGCAATAGGTATATTATGTATTTATCTATTATTTATTCAATGTTCACTTTATTCACAAATTCTTCTCGAACTTCATTTCTTAAATTAAGCATTGTGAATTTCACTATTGTGAACAGTTCACATCTTGGTTACACTAGCCAAAACTATAAACAGCTACATGGGATTGTAGTAAACATATTTCTATTTGACATTAGATAGTTATGCTTCGATATTTTATTTTTAAATTCAACGTAACACATCTTAAAATGTTTAATCATTATCTAAATTCAATCTCCATTATTTATATTAAATAGTTCATCTTAAATTCAGTATAGAAATTTGTGATTACAATTTGAAATTAAGACTGTCAATAATATGGCAGCCGCTTATACTAATTAAACATACATATATCTCTTTGTTCGTTCTGTGTTCGTGATGACAGTGAACAATATTTTTCCACGATTAAAATCGATTTAAACAATAAATAAAAATAGTGGAAAAATAGTAAAATGATAGGACGAATTGTATCTTTTGTTTTAATATTGTGCACGTAGTCATACACATTTATATTTTGGAAGGTTACAGAAATATTGTGCCTTACGTTGTGTCCCCACTCTGTGCATTATCGAAATGGTACTAATTTAGTAATTTAGTAAATCAAAAAAATTTTTTTTGAACAATTTTAAATAAAAAAAACTCAACTCTTATAACCTAACATAAATTGATATAACGCAAAAAGCTATGCAACAAGCTATTTATTGAACATTTTTATTATCTGTAAAAAGTTGAAAATACAATACAAAGATACGAGCGACTAAAGAGAGTGTAGTATGAATGTTCAACGCAAATGTATGTGGAAGGTAATGGTAAAATCAAAAATTTTAAAAACATTATTGATCACTTTCACAATGAGGTTTTATTTTTCGAATTCGGGTTAATCTAAAAATATAGATTTTGGCGTTATCACGATACATATGCAAACTTATTAAATAATAAGTTTTAAATTAATAAAGTTCACATTTTCTTTTCGAAAATCTTAAAAATTACAAAATCACAGTTACTTTAATAAATCATTAAATAATTTTGGATCATTCTTACGTAGGAACTCTTACAAACAGCCCGTTTTCGCGGGCATCTATATTTTCTTAAACATTTTGAAAGCTCTAAATCACATTGGCATAATTGTGCTGCACATGAACGTGGTCCACCCCACTCGCCATGGCTATAGCCGCATAATGGTTTACTTTTGTAACATTTCCATAAGAACGGTATAAAATATTCTAGATATGAGGGGCAATTAGATTTTGTATAGCAATCATCATGCTTCTTGCAACATCTGTCAATTCCATCTATTGGAATTCCACTCCCCATGAAACCGCAAAAGCAACCATATCCTTTATACACTAATGGATCACATCCAGTTGAACATTTTATCATTGAATAGAGTTCCTTGATACCCCGCTTCTTTCGAATATCAATGCTACTTACTGAATTTGATTGGTTTCTGTAATAAAAATAATTGAAATATTTAAAATATAAATTAATTTTAATTAATAAATTTGAAGTACTTTACCTTAATTGCCATTTTGTTGAATGACCGAATGGGTTATTTGCTCTAGATATGTAAACATCCGAATCTTTATGAGCTTCCTTTTTAGCTGTTAAAGGCCAATGAGGATGTGATTCTTTTGTTAACCAGATTGTCATGTTCTTTAGAAAATCATTATTATTTACTATGTATTTATCTCTCATTGTAAAAGGCACACTTGATAATTTTCCTGGTAAATCCCAAACAGAATTTTTTTCGGTTTTATCTAAAAATCCATAGTCCCCTGGCATTTTAATATCGTATGGAGCCTCAGTAGGTTCAAAAATATTTTGTTCATAATTTTCATGTTGATCGTCTGAACTGTAAGATGATGAGCTATATATGTGATTAAATTGAAATTAAATTCATTTAATTTTGAAATCAGTTATTAAGAAAACGTAGAGAATTTTTTACAGTACAATGTGCAAGATTACTATTAAACAAAAAGTCTATTCAAACTAATATATTTAATCTTCCTTAAATCGCTCTAGAAAGATCAATTCATTTGAAACAGTAAAATTGAAAATTGTTTTACTTAAATAAAATTATGTAAAAAACCTACATAGGAAAAAAAACATTAGTTTTAATACCTGAATTCATAAGGATTTTGATAAATATTTTGTGTCATTCTAAATTCCTCCCAGTCAATTTTTGGATTATTTAAATAATTCTCCATTAATTTTATTTTTGGTTCACCATATTTATTTTTGAAAAGTTTATCTTGTGTCGTTGTTTTAATTTTATATTCTCCGGAACCAAAATTCGTATTGTAATAATTAATGCCAAAATATTTTATTTCTTTTCCAAAATATTTTTTACCTTTATCGTTAACTTTTAAAACATAATTTATAAAATTTGCTTCTGTAACGGCATTTGTTTTAACAATTTCATCTTGTAACTCTTCATCGGGAATTGAATTCTCTGTAATCTCATCAACATAATATGGATACTGTTGAAACCAATTTAAACCTTCTTTTGGCGGTTTTGGCATTATTTGTAAATCAATTCTTTTAGATAATTTTGCCAATTGTATATGAGTTTCACTTAAATTTGGATATATTGGAATTTCAAAATCACTACGATGCATTATTAAATTTTTATATTTATTATCAGGCATTGGCATTCTAAATATATAGATTGGATCATCTGGTATTCTTTTACACATTAAATCAACCATATGATTGAGAAAATCCTCTTTAATATGCATAGGTTGGAAAGCTCTTCTAATATCATTTCTAATATTCATATTTGATTTATAATAATTTATGTCGGAACGTGCATAAAGATGATCTACATTTCGTCCATCATGTTTTGCTTCAAAGAATAAATATATTATTTTAGTAAAATTTATTAATGGTAATTAATAAACTAATAAAATTTAATTTTTAAAGTTATTTAAAATTTTTAATCATAATTTTGGTAACAACAATTTTAACCTTTTTTAAGGGCAAATTTTATTTTTTGACTTTCTTGTTCTTTCTTGTTTTGTTTTACTTTCGTATTGAATTGGAAAGGTTATTAAAAAATTTTCCTTTAAAATTACTTCAAATTTCAAAAATAATTTTGGTTCTTTATGTATAAAAAATCAATTTATTACCTATTACTTTATTCTTAATTAAATAAAAAATTAATGTTTGGTATAGAACAGTTTTAAGTACAATTTTCGTAGCCATTCTTTTAATTTAAATTTTCAATATTTTTCAATAACAAAGTATTTTTTTTTTTTTTAAAATGCAATTTATTTATCAAAAATTATTTTTGTTTTGTTTTTTGCAACTCTAAATTTGTAATTAATTTTGAAACGCACGTTTCTTGTATTATTCACAATATTCATTTGCATTTATTGAAATTCACTTTTATTATTATTTTTTATATTTACTTTTGAACACATTTTTTTTACTTTAAATAATAATTTTTTTCTTTTTTTAACCGCAGCTAACAAATGTTCATTGAATAAAGATTGGAACTGAAAAAGTGGAAATTGACTATAATAATTGTACGTAATTTAATCATAAATGCGGAAAGATTTGAAGTTTCCTCCTATATTACCAATAAATTGTTTTCTACCACCAATCTTCATTTTAATTTCTTAAAGGAAAATAAAAAAGTTTAATATTTTTATTATCATTTTTTTGTTTTTTCTTTGCAAAGTTAAAAGCTTTCCATCGCACATCATGAACTTAATACTTATGTATTGATAATTTCAAAAATGCAAAATATGTTTTTCAACTAAAAGAAAGCACGCAACATTCTTTTATGTTTGAATTTTTAACAAAAATTATAAAAAAAAAATCTATTTATTAGCTTTAATCCGTCTGATTGTTCGGGTGTTTAGAAAACTTTAACATATCCTTTAAGATATAAAGCTGAACTTTTAATTTTACTTACCTTCCACCTAGTTATTAATTTTTTTCTCAATTGGCGGGTAAAATAGCGAAATCACTATCCCATCCTAAAAGAATAATATATGTACAATGTAAATAAATAAATAAATAAAACCTTATTTGTTAAAAAGAAATTTTTAGACTATGGAAATGTGCTACTTTGTAAACCATTAGTTTGATTCGAATTTATTGTTTTATATAAGATGTAATTATACACAAATAGAAATATGGTATTTCTAGTATGTTGTTCGCTTTAATATTGCTATCAAAAATTTTTATCAATTTTTAAATTAGAAATGCGAATATTTGTAATAAGAGAGCAATATAAAATAATTTGAAATAAAATTTTAAAATTTTCTTTAAAATTTTGAATTCGTTTGAATCGGATATAGAGTAATGAATAAATGAAAATTTAATAATTATGTTATTATGTTTACTTTTTACAAATATTTTACACAGAAAAAAAAATTGTATCTGTAAAAAATTTTTACAAGCATAAGTATAATGAGTAAAAATATTATTGCAAATAATTATCAAATGAATATTATTTCTTGAAATATTTTTATTTAAATAATTATTAATAAAAAATTAATAATTGTTTGAAAAATTTTTAATTCATATAAATTTTTGGGCGACTAAATGCTAATAATAACGGGAACTCACACATTATTATATTTTTATGCCCCGAACTCACACAAAATATATTATGTATTTGTAAGAATGCAAAATAAAGTTGGGTCGAACCAATAGTTTGAAAAGTAGCGTTTGACCAAGTCAAAATACTGCTTTTAAATACTATATGTTATATTTTAAATTATACATACTTTAATTCATATATCAAAGTATTTTTAATGATTGCATACATTTAGGATGAAACAAAAAAAAATAAAAATAAAAAATTTATAGCGACATTAACATAATGATGAATTTAAGGGTTATTTACGCGAATTAAAAAAAATAATTAATTTTTTTTAAGGGATGGCATTTACCATTAACTTTCTGTATTAATAGAAATTTAGAAAATCGTGCAGTTTGAGAAATATATGGTGACGAAACTTCAAATTTTATAAAATTCGAGAGAATTTGAGAAGGGGATCTAAGTTTTAAAATTTC